GATTTAATGACGACCATCGTGGATCAAGCCTGGCAAGTGTGAGACAAGCAGAATAAGTGAAGAAAAGCATAACAAAGCATGAAACAAGCAAGGCAATTGCGGAACAAGCACGACAAGTGTGATAAGAGCAGGACAAGTGTGATTCAAGCAGGACTGGTTTGAAATAAGCCGGGCGTGTTTGGGACAGCCAATACAACATGGTAAATGCAAGTCAAACGTGGGACAAGCTGGGCAAGTGTGAGTGAAGCAAGACAACGTTGAATGAATCACCAAAAGTGGATAAAACTAGACAAGTGTTAAAAACAGGCAGAATAAGTGTGATGTGGTACAAGCAGGACAGGTTTGAAATAAGCAGTACAAGTAGAGAACAAACAAGACAAATGTGAAAAAAAGCAGGACAACTGTTACACAAACGGGGAGACAGGTTTGAAGTAAGCAGGACAAGTTTAGGACAAGATAAACCAAGGTAAAATAAAGATAAATATGGGAAAAGAAGACACGTTTGATTCAAACATGATAAAAGTGGAAAGAATAACGCAGGTAGACAGGACAGGTTTGGGACAAGAAAATCCAAGTGTGGTGAAAGCGAGATGAATATGGGAAAAGAAGAGCAAGTATGGGACAAGCACGACAAATATGATTCAATTAGAACAAGTTTGAGATAAGCAAGACACGTTTTATTCAATCAGGACAAGAGCGGAAAAAAATGCAAGTAAGCAAGACAAGTTTAGGACAATAAAATCCAAGTGTGGTGAAAGCAAGATAAATATGGGAAAAGAAAAGCAAGTATGAAAAAAGCACGACAAATATGATTTAATCAGAACAATTGTGAGAAAGGCAAGACAAATGTACAAAAAGCAAGACACGTTTGATTCAATCGGGTAAAGAGCGGAAATAGCAAGACAAGTCTGAAACAAGCAGGACAAGTTGTGGATTTCCAAGTACGAGAGGATTCAAAACTAGCAAGACGAGTTGGAAAAGCAACACACGTCCGTTAAAATCAAGTCATTTGAGGAATAAGCAGAGCAAACAGGACAAGCGGGAAAAATCTGTGACAAGCAAAACAAGTGTGTGAAAAGCGGGACTAATTTGAAACAAGCTGGACTTGTGTGAGACAGTCATGACAGGTGTGGAAAAACAGGACATTCGTGATGCAAGGAGAACAAATGTTAGACAAGCATGGCAAGTGTGAGAGAAAAAAGATAAAATGTGGGACAATCAGGACCTGTGGGACTGGCAATACAAGTGTGGTAAAATCAATACAAATGTGATAGAGGAAGAGCGAGTGTGCGCAAGCAAGAAAAGTTCGATTTAATGAGGACCAGTGTAGGGAAAAGTCAGGCAAGTGTAAGACAAGCTGGGAAGTGTGATACAAGCAGGACAGTTTTGAAAAAAGTCGATCGCGTTTGTGACAAGCAAAACTAGTGTGGCAGAAGCAAGTTACGTGTAGGAAGAGTAAAACAAGTTTGATCAAATCAGGACAAGTGTGAGTGAAACGGAACAGGGATGCGAGACAAGCATGGCACGTTTGGAACAAATAGGACGAGTTTGTTACAAACAGGTCATGTTTGAAATAAGCAGGACATGTATGAGACAAGCAGGACAAATGTGGGACAAACAGGACTTGTTTGATACAAGCATGATTGGACCTCATGAAGTATGCGCACCAAGATGGCGCACAACCTGAACTCAGGTTGTGTACCAGATTGGGGTTCAGGTTGTGCGACATCTTGGTGCGCATACTCCAAGAGTACAAGAAAAGTTTGAAAAAAGTCGGTTGCGTTTGGGACAAGCGAAACCGGTTTGGCAGAAGCAAGTTGAATGTAGGAAGATTAAGACAAGTTTGATCAAATCAGGACAAGTGTGAGTGAAGCGGGACAGGGGTGTGAGTCAAGCATGACAAGTTCGGAACTAACAGAACGAGTTTTTTACAAGCAGGACATGTTTGAAATAAGCAGGAAAAGTGTAAGACAAGCAGGGCAAATGTGGGACAAACAGGACTAGTTTGATACAAGCAGGAATGGTTTGAATAGAGTCGGTCGCGTTTGGGACAGGGACTAATATTGTGGTCAAAGCAAGTTAAATGTGAAAAGAGTAAGACAAGTTTGATCAAATCAGGAAAAATATGAGTAAAACAGGTCAAGTGTGGAACAAATAGGACGAGTGTTTTTTACAAGCAGGACAGGTTTAAAATGAGCAGGACAAGTGTGAGTCATGCAGGACAAATGTGGGTCAAGCGGGATAAGTTTCAGACATGGGAGGAAAAATGGGACAAAGGACAAGTGTGGGACACGCAGCACCATAAGGGGCAAACAGGGGAAAATGTAATGCTAACTGGACTAGTGTGAGAGAAGCAAGACAAGTGTAAGGTAAGTCGGACAAGTGTTGGATGAGCAGGAAAAGTGTGTGTTAAGCAGTACGAATGTGAAAAAGACGGAACAAGTGTAATACAAACAGCAGGGGCAGGTTTGATATAAGCACGAAAAGTATAAGACAAGCAATACAAACGTGGTAAATCCAAGACAAATATGGGACGAACAAAGCAATTTCGTGAATTGCAAGGCAACTATGATTTAATCAGGACAAGGGTGGGAAGAACAGGACAAATGTGAGACAAGCAGGACAAGAGAGAGATAAGCGGGACCGGTTTGAATAAGCCAGAGAAGGTGTGAGACAACCAAACCAAGTTTGATTCAATCATGACGACTGTGGAACAGACAAGTATAAGACATGCAGAACAAGTTTGCGACAAGCGGGATAAGTTTGATTCAATCAACATGACTGTGGGAAAAGCAGGCAAGTAAGAGATAAGCAGGACAAGTATGAGACATGTATTATAAGTGTGAGACAAGCTTAAAATTTTCAGGCAAATAGGACAAAAGTGGGAGTAAAAGGACAAGTATAGGATACGCAGCAAAACAATGAACAAACACGCAGAAACGGTTTAAATTAAGCCGGACGAGTTTGGGGCAAGCAATACAGTTGTGGTCTGATCAAGATAAATGTAGGACCAGAGCAAGTGTGGGAAAAGCAGGACAGATGTGAGTTAAGCAGGACAAGTGTTGGTTAAGTAGGACAAGTGTAAATCAAGCATTACACATGTGAGAAAAGCAGAACACGTGTGATACAAACAGAGGGGGCAGGTTTGAAATCAGCAGAACAAGTGTGGGACAATCCTTACAAATTGGGGAAAAGCCGGACATTTATGGGACAAACAAGACAAGTGTGATAAAAGCATGACAAGTATGAGCAATCAGGACAATTGTGGAACAAGCAGGACCATTGTGGAACAAGTACAAGTGTGAAAAAGGCAGGACAAGTGTGATGCATGCAGGAAAGGTTTAAAATAGGCCGGACGAGTTTGGGGCAAGCAATACGATTGTGGTTTGACCAAGATAAATGTGGAACGATAAGAGCAAGTGTGAGACAAGTTCGATAAATCAGGACAATTGTGAAAAAAGCTGGACAAGCATGAGACAAGCAGAATAAGTACCAGGTGTTGAGTATTTATTACAATTTCTATCGGGAAGGCACATATATCGTAACATAGACTAACCGACTTCAGCGTGGCTTTTAAAAATCTTGTAATTGCTGAACCGAAAAATCTAATTATCAGAGTTGTCGTGATAGGGAATAGGTGGAAGGCTACCTATGGCTTGACCTTGTTTATTTTTGAATGACCTCGGAAATGCAGGTGGCTTAACGATGGCCTGGGCAGACCAAATTTACCCTATATTACCCATGCTTTCATTTTTACCCTACTATTCGTGGTAAAATCGACTTGCGCGCGCCGTAGTTTCATAGCAAAAATGTTATTAAGCTTGTGAGCATTATGATGATATATATGCCTACGAAAGAGCATCAGAAATAAAATCAGTGAAGTTATGAACACAGACAGATGCTTGCCCGGCCAGTCTACGTCTTGCATTGTTCTAAAAACCAAACGAAAATATCACAAAGGTGGTTTACTTATCTATTATTTCCACTATGGGAATTTCTTCTAAATGCACTTCTTTCACGAAGTTACGCATTGTCTGTCTCTACTTTTGGAAGTTGCGCCATAAATATAAAGAGCCGAAAAGAAAGTGCCGCTGTCGTGTGGGACCGAACTTTGATTGCACTCGATCTTGTCTGATCTCGGGAGTTAAGTAACGTCGGCCTCGGTTAGTACTTGCATGAGTGACCATCTGGGAACACGGGGTATTGTAGGTTTTTCTCATTTGCCAATTATAATAATGATTTTTTCTGATTATAATGGATATCCGATATCCTGCTTGTTTCACACTCGTCTCGCTTGTCCCACATTTGTCATGCTTGTTTAACACTTGTTCTGCTAATCTCACTTTTTGTTTAGAATAATAGATTAGGATCTCTTTTGCAGATTTTCGGATAATGAGATAATAATAGAGTAGGGCAGATGGGGGCGCTCGCTCTCTGTTGTTAAGGGTGAAGTTCTTGGATCAGCAGAAGGCGAAATACTGCAGAAGCATTTGCCATTTTGGTATCTAGGACCAAAACTCAGAGGATCGAAGATACCACATACCGACCTAGCCCTGGCTGTTAACGAGGGGAACTAGCAATTAACGACCTTCTTTACAGAGTAACTGTTGGGTTCTGAGAAAAGTATAGTTTTAAAGATGAATCTAAAAGAAATTGATGGAAATGTGCAACCACAAGTGGGGATTGTGGCTTAATGTTTCCGAATACACCTGAACATGCTTTGGACTAGATTCGAACAGTTTCACAAATTAGAAAAGGGGGGTTACAATCATTGCTATTTATTATGATGAATGATCATGCTACGCCATGTCAAAGGCATTGAGATGCGAAGGAATTCAAATTCACACGTACGGTCGGTTTTGTAGCCGCATTGTGCCCGTCTTTTTTTTTTTGAAATTGTGTTAACCTGATTGTTTCTTTTGCCTGAAAAGTCAATCATACATAATAACAATATCAAACCTTGAATAAATTTTAAATATGTTTCAGCAAGACTACACATGCCACTGTGTTCAATGTATTTATAAATTCATGTAAAGTAACATTCTATACTGTATATTGAATCCTGTACATCCTCACACGATAACACCTTATTTAATTGTTCTATGAATATCAAGGAAAAATAGCTTTTAAAGTCCTTTAATAACCGTCGGGGGAGCTTTCTCGTCTATCATCACATTTTGCAGCTATAGTTCCGTCGTCCAATCTTGCAATAGTCTGAACAGACGTAAGAAAATCTTGTTCGACATCAACTTCATGTCCGAGATCTTTCAGACCTCGCATAATTTCCTGGTACAGTAGAAATAAAATCATTACAATTCCTTCGTCAATGTTTTGCATCAAATGATGTGATACACAATGTATTTGCTGCTGTGGCTTTACTTAGCTTGTATCATATGTTTTTGGTCGTTTCGCTAAGGCCAATTTCATCACTGTGAAGGTTTCCACTTGACAATAAAATACCCGTGCTAAATATTTTTAGGTTTTGCGAGTTTTTTTTAATCAAACTGTACCCCATGCTTGTTTAGCTGAAATTTCTCAAATCTCGTGTTAAACAATATCTACATAAAAACTCTAAGACGGGCTGGCTTTTGCTTTTAAGTTAACATGCAGTTAGATGATGTCATGCTACTAAAACAAAACTAAACTAAACTAAAAGATAAAAATGATTATGTGCAAAACAATCAAATTAGCCATGAAGCATATTCCATTCAAGTCGATTGAAATCTTTTTCATCGAGAATGAGCGTATTATATGATACACTTTACCTCTTTCGTCCCTTCCTGCACGTACAATATATTTGGCTCCCACGCATGGTGTAATCTTTTGGATCTGACAGCTTCGTCAATACTTTTTCCAAACCAAAAGTGCTGCATAATAGTCTAAATACAAAAGTGAATAATGGGCGATATTAATGCAAATACTTCTTACTACATAATAATTGTGATGTTAATACGAAATATGAATAGCTGCATTCATTATTGATGATTAAATAAATCGCAACCATATTTCATGCCATACCATTATAATATTTTAAGAGTGACAAGATTTTCAAAAGAGAGCTATATGTTGCAGTTTACTTATGTCGTAGCAGAATTATACTCTGATCCGGTGTGAAATCAAATTTGTTACTCCCGTAGTATGTGTACCAGGTTAGGGTTAGGCTATAATTTTATTCCGATTTTCCTTATTTTAGTTTTAGTACAAGTTCGGGGACTGTTTTTGTCAGCCAAGTGAATAAAAGCCCATAGGCTTCCGTCCCTGTACACAACTTAGTGTAAAGTATGCGAACAAAATTAATTACCGCCATATTGATACACTTACTTCTGGATCGCCCTAAATATTTTTCAGCAACATGAAATATTTATTGTAAAAGGTTTTTCCTATATTTCATAACGAAAAATGTGATGAAATAGCCAACCATTGCAATGGAATTTATAATTCGAGAGCTCCCTGCACCTCCCGTTATCATTTTCACTTTTGTACCGTCTGACGATTTTTTCAATATTATCGCCGGAGTAGTTGAAGAAAGTGCTCGTTTCCCTGGTTCAATTGTGTTGTTCGAATTTTCTCGAGCTGCAATAAAAGTATGGGAGCCAAATTGACATTTATTTTTCAAATAAATATTTTCGATTCATGTAATACTTTTATGCAATCTGTATTTAGCTCATATTTTTATACTTACTATCTATTGTAAACGCACAGTTTTGATTATTAAATAAAATTCCAGTCCTTTGTCCTAGAATATTGCTTCCAAAGCTAAATAGAAAAAGTGAATATTGTATTACAATAAAATACTATTCGAATAGAATTGATACGAAATAGAGCAGTGCTCGTGATATTTTCACATTTGTGGTTATACCTCGATAATGAGACCTGATGTTCAATAATATTGGGATGTTTACTAACTTTCACAGAACAATTCATTTGCGTAGCCAATTAGTTGAATTGAAACATAAAACTCACAGTCAAATACAAGTTAATGATGTGTTTTTATTAGTATTAATCATAAACTTCTCAGTAACGGCACTTATGTAGTTCTTGACAAACCACCAATCCAAATCGTTGCATACAGCACAACAAGCACCAAATGATCAAATGATATATTATACTCACGCATATGTTATAGAGCTCGTCATCGAAACCGCACTTCCATCTTCTCCAATAACATTCAAATGTGCCGTCCCTGGCTTATCGGGAACGGTGGCAAATGAACTATCTTGATAATATTCTTTAGGGTGTGTTTGAAAATCGTCTATTTTCTCTCTCACAGTTTTGCAATATTTGTCCGACATCATTTTGTTAACAATCTAGAGTCAATGCATATCAACCTTTTATATACAGCATTGAATGCTATGACGCTTAACCATGTATATAAAAATTCTATCTGAGAGCAGAAAATCGAGGGAAAGGTTTTGAAGGCTAAGAACTTGGATGGATAAGTATGGATATATTCCCCCAATCGCGATTTGCATGACATCCTCCGAGGTCTATTGAGCTATACCATATCATATAGTCAAATTTAATAATATCAAATCTATGGTTTATATTATGCAACTTCGAAGTGCAATTTCTTATGCAATTCCAACCTGTGTGCAGCTTGAATAAAAGGCAAACAACAATACATTCGCTACCCATGCCTCATATCAGTGGTCACTTAGGAGGTATTAGAGCTAAGCAACAGGAAGGAGACCGTACAAGATTAATTTTGAGAATTATGCTTAACCGGAACATTTAATTTGACTTTGAAATCACCTCGTTGACTTCTTTATGGAAATTCGGATCACCCAACTTTACTCTTTTGCAAAACGCAAACTTCATGGCTTCAACAATCCGATGATAAGTCAGAATCTCGTTATTCTTCAAGTCGTCCACGTCGAAATTATAACCTTTTGATAATATAACTCAAATAACCATCAACGACCAGCTTTGGTTGACAAATATAGGGGGCATACAATTGCACATCGAAAAATGGCTGCATGAAAGCATAACATGAAAAACGAAACGTTTCCAGCTATTGATCAAATGAGTACACAATCAAAAAACGTCAATTCTCTGGGTCATTGGCTTTGGAACAAGCTAAAAAAAATGCATTTTGCAGCATAATACACTTCTTGTTCGCCCTATGCCATCAGTGAAAGTGACTTAATCACCGATTATGTTGATTTGCGATGAGTTACCTACTTGTGGAATAAATGTTATTTACGATAGGCACGTAAAGATCATGAAGTATTGAATAAAAAAAAATTCATTTTTGACACGATTGGAAATTGTAGAATATTTTAATTAATCCTCACCTTCAAGAATCTTCAATATAAAAGCAAGTACAGGTCCCCCGCCGTGAGCGCCTGTTGTCACTAGAGCAAAGTCATCAAATTTGATTTTGAGAGAACGTTCAATTAAGACTCTAAACACATATCAGTTTACAGTTAAAATATAATATAATGAATATTCAGCGAGTATTTGTGGTAAATAAACTGGTTGATTTAGTTGAATAATTCATATTCGAATAGCACATCAATAAGTTAAAGTTCCTGTAGGAGTAAAGTTGAAACAATAGCAAGCTGCGAGGTTTGCTAAAAACAAATGCAAAGTGAGTTAAATGAGAGTGGATATGTTGCTTGTCGCAACTGTACTGAATTTCTCATAAGCTGTTAGCCTACAGGCCAGATCATATCATCGTCAGTTGGGTTGTATTTTCACGTGAAATTCTGGTTGGAAGTAAACAACAAAGAATATACGATTTCGTATAGTAGTATAAATAAACGAGGTCATATAGCAACGAACCCCCATATTTCGATGTTATTTCCCCAAATTAATTAATGCCTAAACATGGCTACATCGAAACATTGCAATACTTGTATTCCTCTAAATCTTTGGAGGTGATAGTTGACGGAAATCCAAATCCGTCGCGTATATCTTCCAGTATGGAATCTGTCAGTGATCCTTTATAGAATGCATTCGCTCCTTCTTTAGCTATAACTCGCAAAGTCTTTGCCAACTTCTCATTTTTAATAATATCACCAGCTTGCTTGAAAGTGCCATTTGGCCAAGAAAGAAAGTTTCTGTGAAACAAAATGTGGAAGTAGAATGAAATAAATGTATGTTTTCGACACGACAGATAATGGTAGGAATTTCATATGTCGTTGTATTTGCTAGCCGTGAACTGTAGTTCGCTCTGTACTGTTCCCGTATCACATATAGTTAAGCACATCTGGCAAAATATTGTTATCGTCTATGCCTAATTAGTAAGTCCAATCCGTAACCGTAAACTTAAAGTAGTAGAACAATATAGTTCACCTTAGATCTTCATTTTTATTCGTATCTCTCATCATTCTTGTCAACCATTTACCACATGACTTAGTCATTTCGAAACCAGTTTCTGCTGCGTGGATAGCGGGTTCAAACAATCGTGACCATGGAAGTTTTCCAAATCGCTGATGTGCCTCCCAGTACCCCAGAACCTCACCAGGGGTGGCAATAGAGGTACCACCTATTTTCGTTAGAAATAAAGTAACAATCCTGTAGAAAATCATGGCTTTTTTAATGATGTTTTAGAATCACGAATTGCCGTTTGAATTGGTTCCATTACATTAATGATGTTTTAGAATTACGAATTGTCGTTTGAATTGGTTCCATTACATTTGAACCCACGTACACTTGAACCCACGACGATTGCACCTGCACATTATTGTACCTATGAAAATTTTTGTTGTTTTATGGATATTTAACCCATACTAACCCTAACCCATGGGTTTAGCACCTGCATATAGATTGAACCCGCGAATATACACATGGGTTCAATTGTACGTGGGTTCAAATGTACGGTCACCGTTTGAATTGACCTCCGAGGTACACTGAATCCGCAGATTCTGCAGAAAAAATATTTCTACTTTGACGCTGACATGAAAATTCTACAGTAATTTCAAGTGGCTTCGTGTTGACAAGTTTTGCCTCCATTCCAAAGTGGTGTTAACCACAGATTGAGAATTTGTTTAAAAGCCACGATATAAGGTGATATAAGGGTATAGAAATATCCCTCCAATAACAAAGTCGTTAAGTAGGAAATCCCGTAAGTAACCAAGGCACAATCCGACGAGGCATATAAGAGGCAAATAAATGAAACGTCACGCACAAATACTCGATTATAGGATACAAACAGGCCTATTATATAGAGAGTAGCAATAAAATATACCAAAGATTCGGTCAAGAAACAAATTATCGAAATATTGTAACCCAGTATATGTTTTAAAATGCTTACCTAATGTTCTAGCAAACCGTCTGGACTCTGTATCCTTAAAACTGTCAAAGCTTGCTTGCGAAGGAGCGGTTGCTTTTGCATCAATGAAATAATCTTTTCCTGTCGTTGCATCATAATAAATCATGAAGAATCCACCACCTATGCCGGCGCTAGAACAAAGTATTGATATTAATGCAGTGAGTGTGAATTGTATTCATCGCTGTGTTAAATTATAAGCGTAACACGCAACAATGGCTTGCTACACAATATCTACAATCTGGTCATATCATTTACAATTTTACATACAATACCAGAGAAGGTGATCCAACAAGCAAACCAGCTAGAGTTGATATGCAGCGCTATATAGAAGCATGTTACTAATTGATGTTTGAGATTTCGGGCTAACTGGTTAGTTCAATTGGAAACATCTTTTGTGATTGGCGAATAAAGTGAAATGGGATTTCCACAATATAGAAGCAGAATTATCATGTCTACAATGATTGATTACAACTGCTGACGTGGTTGTGACAAGTAAATTAGTAGCAATAAAATATTAACGAGAATATCGGTCAGAGACCGAAGACTTATCGATCGAAAGTTAGGGAATCCCTCAAAACAGAAACTGCGGTTTCGATTCATGCGTTCTTACTCCATAGTGACACCGTGTGTCTGTGTCCCATCATTAATTAATTAATAACTCGCTAATTATACGACATAATTTATCCAAAATCAATAGGCTTCTGATCCGATATATGATGAATGCACATGCAAAATTTGATTCAACCTCGCTTGCGTGTATCTGACAGACAGACAAACAAACAGACGAATACCTATCAACATACTTACCACCGATCTTAAGATCGATAAGTAATAAGTCAGGTAAAATGATTCTATTTTTTTGCGCCGGCCGTTTGAATAAGTTAAATATACCCGTTCCATGGCATTTATTTATGGTGTTCCTATACATACTAAGATTACCTTTGGAACGAAACGACTCCCAATGTTAGCATAGACGCAATAGCAGCGTCAACAACTGATCCTCCCTCCAGCAAAATATTTTTTCCGACCGTGCATGATAGAGGATTATTGCAAACTACAGCAGCTGATTTGAATTCTTTATACGTGCTTGCGGTTCTCATCTTACTTGGCACACAGTTAAATATACATGGAACATTCATTTAATTTCTGTAAAAACAACTTCAAGCCAGTTAGCTTGCTCAATAGTTATCAACGTAATCGATGCCAGTATAATAAGATTTTGCATTAGGGAAACTGTAGAAGGCCCTACCCGTTCAAGATATAAAAATCGAAACTCTTCTGCACCAAGTTAAAATAAGGTAGTTCTTCACACTTTACTGTAGAAGTGCAAAATAAAATGCCTTGAGCAATAAAAGTCTGAGGGTGACAACATTACAGTTCCAACTTCCATTTCAAATCATTCACTGACTCCGTTCCAGACAGCATTTCCTGAATTTTTACGTTACGTCTGCCTGTCACGAATATTGTAATTCGGCTGCTTGCGTCGCTCCCGAGTACGAGGTTTACCACATCATCAAGCCGTCGTCGTTCCTTTCCGATGTGATAAATAAGCAGATCCTGCGATAATAATATATTCTGAGTTAATGCTGAGCGAACAGTATGATTATATTGTTGACACATTTTAAGCAATAGAAGTATTTCCATCCGGCATTGCATCATCTCATTTTCGTTTAGCATTATCAATATTGAATCGGCAATAAGAAGCAGATTGCATATTTTGAAACTGAACTTCGGACATGCATATTTTCACGTTTATTTTCGTGGAATATCTACAGACAAAACGTATTTGTAGAGGCTTTTTGGCGCTTCAAATTGAAAATCGCCCTAATTAACAATTACAAAATGGAGGTAGGCCTATATAATATACGTGTCCATTTTTCCTCAGTTTGTCTAACAGTATTGACAGCAGAATGCACAGGCATACAGGAACTTTAAGTCGGAGAAAAAGTATTCATGTCGGGGTGTCATTAGTATTTGTTTATCGTAAACAACCATGATAACCAGTGTTCCCTCTAAGGTGTGCGCGTGTGCGCGCGCACACAGCTTTCAGAGGCTGCGCACAGACGTATTTCGATGTAATGTAACAATGTTCTCGGTTGGGAGGTTGAGAAAGTTTGTTGTTGGCCCGCCCATTACCCGGTTAGAGTCATTTCCAAAAAAGTGCGCACAAACCAAAATTTCTGCGCACACATACTACAAAAAATTAGAGGGAACATTGATGATAACCCATATTAAGTTCGTTTCAAATCAATAATGTTACTGGAAACTTTGGAAACTCGGAAACTTGGTTATATATTAACAATATACATTAACACATACTCTCAGATTTGAATGGCAACTTGCGGAACCCCTTTGCTGTACTGGTCAAAATCTAGGGTTGTGCGGAACCCCGGTTGAAAACCACTGATATTATTAATGTATATAATATCAGTGTATATATATAATGTATATTAAAGCATCTATCTTTCTGTAGGGTGCGTGGAAGTATTTCCCTATGACTCCGCGCGTGCAGATTGCACTTTTTTAGCTGTACGCTTCCAAGTCTCTAGTTAAAACGTGTGAAATCTTGGTTGTGTACTGTATTCTTCAATTATTTAAAACAGCGACGGTAAAACAATATAAAAATAGCGATAAACAGTAAAATAATTTAACTTGGTTTGAGAAAGAAGCTTGTTGTTGCAGTTGAGATGCGTGTTGCGAGAGAGCCCCCAGTCGAGTTTCAATCCAAAAAACGCCCCAAGTTGAAACGCGTCACTCGGCCAATCAACGGTCGACGTGACCCGGACCTACGTGTTGCAAGGCAGCTCCTGATTATTAGAAGTCACAAATTCAGCAGTTACGAACAGTCAGTAGCGCCGGTCACTTTATAGTTGAAACAATGGCAAACAATATCGGTGGCGGCCTCTTGACTCTTCCCAGGCCGCTGGCAGCCTTACCTATTCTAAAAGCTGATGTGGCATTGAATACCTCAGTAGCATTAGTTTATCGTAAATGTATGAGCGACGAGCAAGTTCAAGAAATTTGTATTCGTTTGTAGTATTTCATTGATTAAACATTGAACTTTTCCCAATATTTGAAATAAAATTTATTAAATCCGTTAGCGACTGTTTGGCTGTTTTTTTGTTTCAAAACCCATTTTCAAATTCTAATTCAGATATATATATGTATCATTTACTGGTTTTCTATATAAAATCTCCTTGACAGTCTGCCATGCGTGTTTGATGTCACCGCTGTTATTAGTTAATTTCAATGAATAATGATTTTGCTTTGATTTTGGTAATATGTTATGCTATTTTTTGTAGTGTGCACCTTGCCTTGTACCATGTATTTTATATTTTTTTGCATTTCACTCTTGAGAAGATGTGATGGATATATTACCCTGTGTAATTCAAGGCTTTGATAGCGAATTTTTATTTTTTTTATGACATTAGGAGACAATAATATAAGTGCGTGTGTTAATTAGGTACATTGAAGTTTTCAGTTGGCAGTTCTGTCTATATGAAGCCATTGAGTACATATATGCATATTTCGATGTCGAGATTAGACATTTTCAGTTCCTTGCGAGTTTTGAATTTGCATTTAGGTGCACTAGTAAAAGTAAAGGAAGACATGACATGACAGACATGAAAAATGATCTGTATGTCATGTAATTTAAGATGACGAACAAAGATCAATCGCATCGGTGTAAATATGGTCAATTAAAACATACGATGTGGGAGTCGAACGCGTTATTGTGAAAGTGGCCAGATGAGACAGAAGCATGTAATTGTACAGATCCTTGTTCAAATCCCTTAAAATTGTGTAAGGGTTTTTTTAAGCTATCTGATTTTCAATGTAACGAGTTCATTGTTTCTGTGAAATTAGAAAGATCGCAGCGAGAATTCCATAAATACAACCTATATATATATATATATATATATAATGGTTGTTGGTGGGTGATCCATGACCGGAATCCACAAATCTTCACAATGAGGAAACGTGAGACCATACTCCTGGGTTTCCGTGAATGAAACATCCGAGCGTATTGAAAACCTAACTCCTTCAGCTTTGGTGGGAGTGGAAAATAAACGAAGTTGTAGCAATCTATACGCATGTACCTAATAGTAAATAGGAGATATTCTTAATCTGGTTTTGGTCATGTCTATACTTTGGGAAAGTTGCTAAAAGTTCATCAGCATTTGTACCGGATCATCAATATGTATTGGCAGTGATTTTACATTGCTGGAGACGAATAAAATCTTGTGAAATATACTGAGATAAAACAATCCCAACGATAGAGAACTCTACATATTTAGTTGTAATGGACGTAAAGTTGTAGGCAAACTAAAAGATTCCAATGATGGCAAGTTTGGACAGAAGGTATGGCCTTTTTAATCAAGGCACGTTTGGAATGAGTAGGAGATGGTTTACCATATTTACATTGTATGTATGAATCACTCCGGTATGGAGAATAACATACTGAGCCCAAGTTATCATATAGCATTGGTAATTTTGATAAAATAAAATGAAGGCATAATAAAAAATAGTCTAACCTATTGATTTTTTAAAAACCCTATTCTTGAATTTTATTCTGAATTTTCCATCTGAATTCCATAAATACGCGTAACCACGTTATTTTTTAGAGCTTCTGCTTCGAAAAATAAATTCTTGTGGCGATTGGTCCGGTTTTCAGAAATAAAAACTTTGAAAATGTCTTTATTATTCGTTGTGTTAGAAGCAGACTTCCAATTTTCACGGTCATCGACGATTTTCTGACGAATTCTCCCACAAGTAATTGGAGCAAGGATTGGGGGTGATTTTTTGATTGCGAGTAGGAAACCAACGTCTAAAAGAGATGTCCCTAGGTTAAAAATTCACTTTTATAAGTTTTAAAATCTTCAACACCAGTTTGTCAGTATCTTCATTTGGTATTCGTAGTTACCAGAAATCCAGGATACGGTCTTCTAAATATTGATTTGTTGTTTTGGCATTTTGATTGGACATCCACAATTTTGGTGTATTACCAGATGGTCAAACTTTTTAGATTGCAAAATTTGAGAATTTTTGGTAATAAGGGACGTGAGCCCCACTTCCTAATCACAAATCGATGCGTGCTGGAGTTGTATAGATTGTCGAGTTTACAATCTTCACATACATGTTCATCGTGTCTGCGCCTAAAAGAGCAAGATTAGATAATAATGATACACAAGACGTGGGGACCAGGTAAGACGATTATTCAATATCAATCCATTTAAGCTCCTAATTTCTCGTAAATATAAATCGGATGAATGTAACTGGAAAGACTCAAATTTGAAGATAATAAAAACTCAATTTTGAATGAATAACGGTGTCTTCAACTGTATCAACATATTCTCTGTGATTTGGCAAAATTTGTAATATAGGACTATAATTTAAGTCACAAAATGCAGTTTCATTAATTAGGCAATGTTTTACAATGGATTAAGTGGCAAAGGCTTCCCTAATCAATAAGATATGACTTCCCGTCACGTGGGATTAGTAGAAAGTGATCAATCTGCTGCTTTTATTGGACACGTCAGTGGACATAACGATCGTTTCGATATTATGTTGTTGTTCTTGTTTTTCTTCTCTTTCGTCATGATAAAATCGCTTTTCTTTTCGAATACTGGACCAATAGCTTTGAAATTTTCAGTGGTTAAAGATTAATTTTTCCGCCAGAAGGCTATTACTTTTTCATATTTCAAAAATTTCTGTGGACTTGAGATTCGTTTTTTATATGTCAGAATAAAAAATAGCGACACCTTGTGATGTGTCCATGTATTTGAGCATAGCTCTCTTGTTCTCTAAATGCTGCCCTGCCCGTTTGATGAATTACAGCGCCATTTGAACACTATTTCGATCTCGATGGAAAGAAATTTTTTTCGACACTGGACAGTAGAGGATTGTTCGTGGAAATGGAATAAAATAAAAGTGACTTGTCACAGACATGCAATAGAAATATTGAAATGCTATGATCTAAGAGGTTTAACATTTTATATTAAATGCACACAACTATGACTTGGATGGCTTCAAATAATTTGTACTCGCGTACACACGTCGTAACCAAAATGCCAACCAGGCGACAATCCCTCTTATACTATTTGTCCTTTGTATACCATAGATCTGACATTGTATACTGTTGTTGAAATGTTTCACTTTCGTGTCCATATAATTGAACAATGCTTTCTGTACCTACAGGTCTACCATTTCACTTGTAACCCTTTCATTCATGACTTTTTCGTTTACAACATTAATCAACGTTACAACGAAATGCGCCATAAGTTCTCCAAGTACCGAAAAAGCTCCCATTTCCAGTTCGAGCATAAATATTTTGCCTTCTATACTTGTCCACACAACCTGCAAAAAAAAATTTTTTTATTGATAGAAGATGCCTAAATATATTCATATCGCTGGATTGAGATCTATTGTATAGTCTTGTTAAGATGGGGACATTGATAAAGATTGTCGTACTAGTTCTTTTCTAGATAATGATGAAGATTTTGCAACTAGAGACTCAAATGTGCACAGATTCAATTGATTCTTCCAGTATATTTCCAAATACCTAGTGGTTTCAGAATTGAATCTCGAATACTTGAAATATTGGTGATGGAATTACTAAAAACATACAATCCATCACTTAGAGTACAGTTGGTTGTGTGTTCACACAGAATAAGAAACCTGTGTCATAAATAAATCACTCGTATGTAAAACAAATATGCCTCAACGAAAAAATAGACGGACCTCGATCTTTGGTGAACGAAAAAAAAACATGGCGGCGATCCAAAATTTTCGTCTGGACCGATTCCAAAAATTCACTATTCGATTTAAAATGCCCAGCTCTGTTTGCAATCTTAAAAATTAAACGCATAGCAAGATTCATCATCAACATGATTTTCATTTTCTAGGTCATACTTTGCTTTCACGCATGAACTTCAAGGAGACAGGGTCGAAGACTAGTACGCCATTTTGTAGGATTCTCCTATGTGTGCTTCTCCCCTGTAGAATCAGAATTACTTTTATTTCGTACAAAATCCAATCCATATCCTACTGCAAATACTTGTCTCATTCGACATACAAGAATTGCAATAAAATAACCGCAGGAGATTTTACAACGATTTACACCAATTTCATGAGCGATTGAAAATATTTTTTTCAAGCGCCAAATGCATTCTATTTTCCAATGCTTTGTATAAATCAGAAGTCCGACTTTTTGTATTGAATACAACTTGGTCTGTTCTGCAAGGTGAGACTTTAAACTGTCATCAAAAAGCTTTAAAATAGCGGATTGGGTAAGAGCAACTCCTAAAGTTGCGTGTAATATATAACCAGGGGAGTGACTAGGTGGTGACCAGAACGTTATGGGGCGAGGTTGTTGCTTAGTTTGATGATTAAAATAATCATAATACAAACATTCAACTCTTACTTGACCTTTGATTGATTCATTCTCATGTATACCACTGTATCTATAATTTGTTTATCCCTCTTATTATGTTTGAAGTTAGGTATAAGGGGAGAAACTCGCCCCGCGTAGCAGAAAAGTTTGACACGCCCCTGCATGTGAAGCAAGCCATTTTCTGTGGCGCATTCGTATTACAGCATGTATTTTTATCTAATGCCTTCAATACCTGTCCCAGTGAATGCAAGATACGAGACCCATTTCTTGATTTTCAATAAATTACGCAAGTATTCTACAAAATTGAATAATAGGTAAAATATAATATTTTAAACTCTAAGCAGTGTGTGTGCTAAATGCATGTCTTGTTTCTTCAACTTAGTTGTTTAAATAAACTGCTGTGGGCGATTCTCCATGAATTGTACGACCTCTTAGCAAAATAAAGAAAGTGAAATATTTCCCAAAAATTGATATCGCCATCCCATAATTTCATGATGCTGTTTGTCAACAATTACCAAAGCAATGTAAAGCATTCAAGCATTGTTCCAGAACTATATTGTTTGTCTGTTAGACACTTTCGTATGTTACGCGATATCTCGCGAAAGCGAGGTTGAATCTGCTCTAAATTTTGCATGTGCATTCATCATATCTCGGACTAGAAGCCTATTTTGGATGAATTTTGTTGCATAATTAGCGAATTATCAATTAATTAGTGATGTGACACACGGTGTCACTATGGAGTAAGAGCGAATGATGCAAAACCGCAGTTTCTGTTTTGGAGATCCCCTAACTTTCGATCGATGGGCTTCGGTCTCCGACCGATATTCTCGTTTATATATTTGTTTCATTTTGTGACGCCTTCTGAGATAATCAGTATTGTTTTCCCCGTCACTCATCACCATTTTGTTTTATTGTACATTGTGTAAGTCTATGTAGGCCTACTGAGCGTATCTTATATGCGGTTTAAAAATTTTAAAATTTGTAGCAAGGCTACGTCGGGGGACAAAAAGACATCTATACCTGAATTTCGGTAACGCAATCAAAAACTGACAAATAACCAACAAAACCACGAGAGCAATCCAACGTTTACTCCCAAGAGTCCCAAGCTCCAACGCCGAAAGCCTGTTTTGGTGGGGAAAGCTTTTCTGTGAGGCCGGCAATTTGAATTGGCACGCCACAATTGACATTTTGCTGATTAGTTAATGATAAAGAAGTAGACGAGTGAGTCGATGCTCAGAAAAAACATCGATTCCTTAATCCCGTAATGAATCCCTTATATTAAAAATATTGTTTTTGGACATGTGGGTGACCTATGGAGGCGCAGTTCTTACCACTTCATGGCAGCTCTTGCCACGAGCGTACCCGCTGTCTCCTGCCATGGTGTTGTGGCGCTATTACCGGTGTATTTACTAAGTCATGTACAATATTTTAGTTTATCATGCGTAATTATATCTACTTAAATCTAAACCGAACCCCAAATTCACCCAAACTGTATCCATAAGAAAAACGTTCCAACTTACCCAATATTTATCACCATCAGGGGCAGCCTTGCTATTACAGACACCTCAATGATTACAGCCGACATGCTGTGGTTACGGCAGCAAAATTGGTGGCATTCGATTTGCTGCCGTTACGACCATTGAGGTGATACACCTCACAATGGTTACGACGGCAGCTCGCTGTTGGTTTGTGGCATTACACCTCAGTGGTTTGTGGCAGCTAAAAAGTCAGTCGCCGTGGGTTTGGTCATAGCGGTTATGGTTGGGATATCTCGCCCATTGAGGTGTATATACCCACAATGATCTCGCCATGGTTTTGCGGCACTTCTAGACGCCACGAAATACTTGAAACTGCACTTGACCTATGGATCGTTTTCATGTTTTAGGTAATCTTGTTCTTGTTGGACTTCATCTTTGTATCGTTTTTTGAAAAATCGCTTCTCTCCTTTATTACTAAACCAATTGCTTTGAAATTTTTAAAGAGTAAAGATTATATTTTTAGCTAGGGAGCTTACTTTTATTTATGCGTGTGCTGTGTGCTATGACGCTATCAAAATTTGCCACTATGTGGCGTCACGTGTCCATATATTTGAGCATAGCTCTCTTGTTTTATTTTGTGCTAGATTCAGCCTCCAGAAATATTCATTTATATACCTTATTTATACAACTCAATGACCTATCCGTAGTAGTATATATTTACGCCTTATCATATCATAAGTCAAATGTGACAAAATATTTTTTTTCTATGACGTCCGGACGTAAAGTCTTATTTTTTCTGCTGAAAATCTGTCAAAATGACACCGGTGTACCGGTATGAGATGTGCATTTTAATTGCGGGAATGTACCACTGCTGCACTGCGTGATTCGCGGGACGACGCTTGAGCGCATGTGGTAATTATAGCACTTCTGAAGATAAGAGGCTCGAAAACAAACAATAATCAACAATAGAACCGGTGCGTAATACTGATAAACCGTTCCAGCATTCCCGTCTCCAGATTGCATTTTACTAAGTAAATCCAATAATATTCGCAATACCAGAATGCAGTAATACGACTTGCAGAATATTTTAAACCGTCGTAGTTAAGCGCGGTGTTAATCACTGACTTATGAAGGCAGTTTTTAATGGTGAGTTGACTGTTTATGGTAGCGACTGTGGTACCTATACGTCTGTACGTAGCCTACAACCTACGGTACTACATAACTCTAATTCTGGTGAGAATGAATCGGTACTTGTAGCTAAGTTAGACTATAGCCCAACTGTTTTTCAAAGTTCTGAAAGACAAAGTAGTCTATAGCAATAACGGGTATTGTATGGCAGTACCGGTACCGGTATGGCTGTATGGTAGACTATTCCTGTATGGTCACTGTCACTGGCAGACTGTACAATACCTGGCCTCCTCATCTGTCTGTTAGATCGAAGTATTTCTCTTACTCCAATATCAGAATACCGTACTCCGGTCTGCTGGTAGACTACTGCGCTGCCCAGGACAGTATTAAGCTTATCTTATAACAGGATATTATCAAACTTTAGATTGTTACCGGTATAACTGTAATTGTTTTGAAAAGAAAATGGTTCGCAAATTATCAACTAAAGATGTGGGTAAAACTGAAGAACCAAAGAAATCTCGAGGGAGACCAAGGAAAAGTGAGGCTATTTGTATTTTTTAACCAAGTCCTGAAGTTGAATTTTTTCTATGGCAAAAACCTATTTTCAGATTTTATTCTATAACCAGATAACAATTTTCAGATTTTTGAGAGAAAGTACTCAAAAATCACACCATAGTTTATTACAGTATTATGACTGTATGGTGGTACAGTAGGAACAATATTTTATTAAAATTTTTTGCAATTTTTACCAGTTTCTGCAGTTGAGAAAGGCTCAAACTCTGGGAAGCGTAAACTCAGTAAATCCGTTTCTGAGGAACCAAGAATAAAACAGAAGAAGATAGAAGGTAATAATATTTATTCCTATATATATATCACAGATAACATAGACCACATGCTGACATGAGATACTGGCTGTATTTGAATCGACACCTCTGTAGCCTATATAAAACTTTGATAAAATATATTGGTTACAAAAAAGTTTTAGGCATGAGTGAATGACTGGTCCTTTGAATTTTGCATCCATTAGATCACCAATTTTTATATGTGTAATGAATATAAGTTGGTAGAAATGCTCATATTTTTCATTCCAATTTTTTTTCAAAAGTACATTGTAGCAACAAAACGATATTTTGTAGTCTGACACTCTACTTTTGACTTTCAGTTCCCAATTTATTTGAATTGGCTTCTGTGGGAGTAGCTCTAACATTGGGACAAGGAGATACAGGCCAACTGGGACTAGGAGAAGATATAATGGAACGAAAAAAGCCTGCTTTGGTGAGAGGAGAACTTGATGGAAAAAAGATCAAGAAAATTATTGGCGGAGGAATGCACACTGTTTGTTTGACTGACGATCATAAGGTATAGTTAAAAATCATATATATATACCGTAACTCTGAAAGTCTGACATAAGGTATAGCTAAAAATCATATATATATACCGTAACTCTGAAAGTCTGAATATGACTTGAAACTGAAGAAGGTTGTTGGACACTTTGTCAGTTAAAAGTTATTTGCACCATGGTTGATCAGTTATTTCGAACTACCTTGCAATCTATCTTGCCTGAGTTAAATGAAAAATTCTATCCTCTGCTATTTTAATATTGTCGGTTTCTCACTCACATGTTATTTATATAATTTTGGACATTAACACCCATGGATTTATATTCGTAGGTTTACTCATTCGGTTGCAATGATGAGGGGGCATTAGGAAGATTAACATCTGACGATTCAGAAGGATTTGAACCTAAAATTGTCGGTGGAAGTTTAGAAGGAGTAAAAGTAATTGATATATCTGCTGGTGATAGTCACTGTGCTGCTTTATCAGAAGATGGAAATGTATTTTTATGGGGCTGTTTTCGAGTAAGTATAAAAAATTATTTTAATTTATTATTTTTAAACAAAGACAACTGCAGAACAAGCAGGTATTAGGTAGCCTATATTATAGGATTCTACTCTGAAAACATAGACGCTAATTTTTGTTTGGTGCAAATTTAATTGGGCCCCAATTGTGCATAAAAATTAATGATTATGTCAAATCTTTTCAATCGAGTTTATAAATTTCTTGTGATTACAAGATTTAGGATGTTTCATTTTTGTTCAATTGTTTTCAGGATAATCACGGCAGACTGGGTTTAGCTAAGGAATGGGAAAAGTGTGGCGAGCCAATCAAATTAGACCAAATTCAAAATTGTGTTGTAGCAATTGCCTCTGGATGTGACCATGTTGCAATGATCACTGACGAGGGAAAGGTTTGTCATTTCAAATTTTCTCTAATATTCATTCAGTTGAACCTTTGTATCTTCAGAACTGAATCTGTTGAAAGCAAATTGAATTTTTTCAATTTATCTGGAAATCGTGGGTTCGTTTGTTTCACGAGTTGAGTATTTGCCAATGTACATCAATCAACTTTAACATTCTCTCGTTCAAACCCTAAGACCAACTTCTAAAAGTGTAATGAATTAAGTAGGGCAATATTAAGTAAGTGTGAGTAAGTAAGGCAATGCCTAAGCAGCCTAATTTGATCTTGCACTGTGAAGTTATGTAACGTTATGTAAATATGTAGGCCATTCAATTTTTATAGACAGCAAAAATATTATTTCTTTGCTTGTGTGCTTATTCATTAGAAAAAATGCATGCTACTTTTTTTGAAACATATTACCGATTTTCAAACTAATTTTACAATACTTCACAGGTATTTACATTAGGTTGTGGTGAGCAAGGACAACTTGGAAGATTGAGTAAATACGCATTAAGTAGAGGTGGAAGGAAAAGTGCAGGTAAGAATGAAGTGATACAATATGATAAATTAGTCATTGATTGCTAACAATCTTAGACCCAAGCACCCATATATAATCATCATCACCAAAATGCTCACTGTCATTATTGAGATAGCAAATATGACGGAATCTCCTCATGAATTAGTGTAATAGCAACTTTCATCTAGTCCACCGTAATCTCCATGAAGCCTCATTGTGACCCACCAGGGGTGGGGGTCAGGACACCCAGTTTAAGAAACCTAATCTAGTCTTAAGACTGTCAGACTCAAACAGAGGTTTCTCGTCCAAGTTACAAGTAGAGCTAGGAAAGCAGAATATTCACTTACCAAGTTCAATGTTCCAAATTGATGGTCATGGCAGACTTCTAGATAAATTTAATAATACAGAGAAGTGAGAGAACAGAATAATAATAATATTCTACAGATGAAGTCTCATCTTCTAGTACTACAGCAAATCCAGAAGTACCCATGCCAAGAAGCAGTTTGCGTGAAAGATTAAGTTTTGCAGGTATAATGCGGTTTTACAGTTGAGATGGTTTTATCTTTACAAAAGATTTGTCATAAAATGTGATTTGGATATCGACTTAGAAAATTACTATATGAGTTGAATGGTAGTTCATTAGAACAGTCTGAATCTGAATATTGTGCTTGAATGCAGAGCTAATGGTTATAAATCCCTTAGACAGCAAGATTCAGGTTTAAAGGATAGTTTCTGGTTGATTTCTGTAGATTTAATACAAAGATAGTAATGAATTGATTGATTTTAGGGTGTGTTTATCAAACAGGATTGGTAATTGTATTACTGGTACTTCAGTCAGATGGATAAAGACGGCCCGTGGGTTCGAATTATATAGACAATTGGGTTATATAGACAAATTGAATGCCTGATTAGCCTTGGCAAAAGCTTGTAATTGCTCATTGTTTGAGTGTGCCTAAGTTTAACCTACAGTAACTTCTGATGAATGTCTATTTGAAAACTAAGCAATGCAATAGATTGAGAACGTGATTATCAGTTGGAGGGTCTTGTTTGTTTGATTTTCAAAAATGGGAAAATCAATTCCTGGTTTTGATTTTCTGGTATATTATGTTATGATGTAACAATACTATGACTACTATTAGACTCAAATTCGACAGAATTCAATTAATGCATAATTCAAACAAGCAAGACTAATGTAATACCGATTCGACAACAGGCTGGGCTTGAGCTGTGTGGTCTGTTGGTTATCACCTTCTCTCATTTGGATTTTGAATTGAATCAAATTTTGAACGTTCTTTTGTATCATTTTATTTACGATATATATTATTCTCTCTTTTATAAGAAGAACGATGTCTACGTCCTAAACCTGTAACAGTGCCGAAAATAAAGGGGAAGTCAGGAAAACCAATGTTTTGTGAAGTTTATTGTGGATCATATTGTACATATATAGTTTCAACGGATGGAGATGTTTTTGGGTTCGGTCTTAATAATTATCATCAGTTAGGTAAGTTTAAGCATGCTTGCAATATTTGTAACTTTATAGTTTATATATGAGTAATTGTGTTTTCAAGCCTTAATTTTAATTTCAATGTTAGAGTGAATAGATTTTGCAACATAATTATGTAGTCATGCCAAGTTGCAACTTTATAACAAATTATTCATGTTGAGTTATCTTCAAAAGATTTGTTACATGCATAGAGTATCTCTATTTTATCTTCCTGTAAATATCAGATTTTTCGACTTTCACTTGGCACCACTACTTAGCTGCTTAGATAAAGACTTATAAGAACATTATTATGATTTTAAGACAATTATTATTTCCAAAGATTTCTACTCCTGATCTGAATTTTAATTAATCATAAATTTTTCTTATATCAGGTATACCAGACGGAGAAAGCAGGTATATGCCAGTTTACATTCCCGCATTTTCTGAAAAGAAATGGAGATCAATATCCGGTGGATTGCATCATTCTATGTTACTGGATGAGCATGGTAAGTTTCAGCTTATTTCTTTATAAAATCTGAAATCAACTTCCTATTTTTGTGGGACCTTGCTTTGAGGAAACTTTTAGCTGATTACCTTTTTTAAGATTTAAATTACAAGTTTGGGAAACAGTTCAATTATGAAACATTTTATCGATGCTCCAGAAGTGTGTGTACTGTGTACCAATATGGAGGTAACCAATTTTGTTCGCCTACTTTACATCAAGTTGTGTAAAGGGACTGAAACCTATGGGCAGAGGGATATTCACTTGGCTAACACAGACATTCCCCGAACTCGTAATGGAACTAAAATAGGGAAAATCTGAATAAAATTGTGGCCTAACCCCAACCTGGTACACATACCACGGGAGTACCCTTTTATCACCTATAAACACTAACAACTTTTGTATTATTATTTATTACTATGATATTGAATTCGATTTTCAAAGTTTTTTTAATGAATCGCTGAGCAGATTATAATATTTTATTCACTTTTTCTTTTGTTATTACAGGTGATGTTTACTGTATTGGTCGAGGTGACTATGGTCGGTTAGGCCTTGGCGAAAAAGTTCTAATCGCTGATAAACCAACTAAAATTGAAGCATTACGAAATATTGTTCAAATTGGAGCAGGTCCCTGTGTATCATTTGCTGTTGATAAGAATGGGAAAGCATTTGCATGGGGAATGGGAACTAACTTTCAACTTACATCAGGTATGGAATCCAGAAACTGTTTTATTATTTATCATTAATTCAGTTTGATCTTTTTCATTTCTCTTCAGTTATATATTTTTAGCCTGTAAGTTGTAATAGACATAGGGTTGTCATACTTTAACGGTTTATTTGGTAAATGGGTAAAGTACGGGAATAATTACCAACTCAGCAAATGTAGATGTATCATATCAAGTAAACCGAATAGGCTAGCCCTAGTACATAAGAGTTTCATGTACACAAATATCCCTGAAGATTCAACAATATAGTTTTGAATACATGCTGATTTTAAATCGAACCTGTGGTGAGATAGGAAGATCCTCACAGATTTGTTTAAAACATAATTTAAAAAACAGTGTAAAATAGCTGCACTTGAAAATTGTTTATCTGGGAATTTGACATGTGATGTACTGAACATTCGTGACACTGTAAAAATACGTTTAGCTATTCCTCCATCATGCTCACATTTGCAATCAACACGGGGCCACATCCATACTGACTGATTTGAACTTGCTGGAACCTATACCCAAGCCAGCCAGGCTCATATCTGGACGAAAGAATTCATCATCATGGCTTCATTCACTATAGTTTTTTTTCTTTGCAAATGGAAAAACGTTATCTTCAGTTGAAATAATGAGATAATGAAAGTAAATGTTGTTTTCTGCAGGGGAAGAAGATGACGAGTGGACTCCTATTGAATTCCGGGGAAAACAGTTGGAAGAAAGATCGGTTATTATGGTTGGTGGCGGTGGACAACACACTGTATTACTTGCCTGTGATAAAATAGTTAATGGGGAATAATCCCCAACACTCAATTCTATGCAGAGTAGTTAATTGGAATGGGAGCATAGCGCAAATAAAATGCTGAATTGTGAAATGTACCAAAAGTGGTATCTGAATTATGTCTGTGATAACGCAGGATATTCAGTCTAATCTCAAGTGCAGTCTGTTTAGCACAATTTCTACATATTCTCACTTTTATACTTCATCACTGCCTAATTCATTTGCAAGTTCAGCTGTCTTTGTTATACCTTTCTTCAGATGGAACTGTGGAATTCTATCTTTATGAGATTTATATCAAGTTTTTCTACAAGCTAGCGCAAGTACCCTATACCTGTTCAAATTATGTGTAATGATTGTTCTTTGTTTCTTTCATTTATCTGCGCTAATTCAAGTTGCCTGATCCCAGCAGCTTGGAAGAAAATGGTCATTGATTTTATCTTTGTATTCTGCTTATTTGGAATTATTCTTTACATCTCATTTTAGTTCAGGTTTATTAAAACTAGATCAATATTGTAGTAAATTGTATTGAAAAGAAATATTCTTAAATGGTGCTCTTGTCAAGTGTTCAATTTTGGGTTTTCATTAAATTCTTTGAACATCCTGGTACAGTTATTATTATTTATTTTAAACAGAATTTATTGTAATTTGAATTGACTCTTTCAGTGAATTCATCAAATACACCTTACTTCATATGATTTTACTGCATAAAAACAAGCATTTTTTACAATCATAAATGGATGTCTGAGGACTGTAAATAGGGTTAACATCGGACTGGATGGTCTAAATATTCTTCAATAAAATCATGGATCACACAAGTAAAACATCATTTCGTTAAACTGACTGTTCTATTTTCGATATAATTCTCACACCAGTTGTTTGAAATTACCGAATACACTGTTTTATCTCTTGATATTGTTCTTCTGTTTTGATTTACAATGCTGCCAAGATCGCTCCAATACATTCGGGGCAATTTAATTTTTTCATTGCACTCAAGTTTATCCACCAGGAAAAGTCCTTTTTCTTCTTTAATCGTGCGTTAAAAAAAATTTCAGAGGGGAATGATTCAACATGGTTTACACTGGAAAATGTTTTGGGAATTGGTATATCACAAAACACTTGTAAAACATCCATTTGTAATATTTTATGGTAATGCGTGTCCTGCGTTTTAGTTTTACAATCAGAATCTAATTCGACAGCTAGTTGAACCGCACATGGCGGCAGTATTCGGTTTCTGGTTTGCAGTAAAAAGCATTTTGCGGTGAATAAAAGTTTTGATTTTGTGAAGACCCCTGCTTATTTTAACTCGAAATATGAAGTGTATGGGCTTAGGTAGGACACAGGACCGAGTGGAAAATTAGCTCTCATACTATATCGGTAGCAGTTTTTGACTACGTCATTCGGTGGGTGGCCCGTCCGCGCAAACGGAGAACAGCGATGAGATGAAATTGTTTTTTTGGGGGGGGGAGGTGAAACTAAAATTTCTCCATCTCAGTTTGGGGAACAATGAACTGGGGTTCAGTGGGACATGCCTCACTGGGAACAATTCTAGATTCAAAAATATTTTTCTGCGTGTATTCGAAAAAGTAAATTATTTTCTTTTGGCTGGAGTTGGGCATTTTACTTGTCAATATATAAATGTTGGTTTTATTGGACGCTGTGAACAGTTTAGGGAATAAAAAAAGTACACTTTCTTTTTTTTTGAACAGCACTCAAAAACCCGTATTTGATGTTTATATGGCCTCATCGTCGAGAATGAAAGTTCTAGATCTTATTTTCAATTGATTTAAGTAAGGCATCATCCTCAAGTAAAACAATGAATTTATTTCGGATTAAATATTCAATAGCAGACTTTTTAGATACGTATATATGTCGCTAAAAGTAATTTTGTCATTTGTGTTGCCAAAGGAGAAAGATCTGAAATATATTGGGTGAACATTAATTTAAAAAATATAATCTCCAAATTTGAAGTCCCACCGTTCTTTAGATGAAGATGCTGATTTTTCACGGCATATTTCGTTAAATTCAATAGACTGTCCTATTGTGTACCAGAGTGTGTCGGAATCCGGTGTCTCGAAAATGTCGTGTCCGGCTTGTCACACGAGTTCCACTTCCAATTGTCTCGCGTGTCCTCCTTTTCCCACGTGTCCTATTTGTCCCAAGGTTGTGAATATTGCCGTATAGATGAACTATGCCCAGGGTTACCATATCGGGCTTTTTTTTAGCCCGCGTCTTATAAAGTAACATATGCCTGTTTCTAAGAAAAGTTCTTATTTTTGAGTTGCGTTCTTTTTTGTCTTAAAAACACGGATGGCCCGTTCGTGTTCTGCGTAAAAGCTTCCGTGAAAACGTTACTTCGATTGATAAATTTATAATCTATCCCATTGTGTTTAAATAATTTATACTCAACAAAGTGAAAACACCCTGTGAAATGACCTTATCAATCAATAAAACTAGGAAGAACGGAGAGTTTTCTTGTGAAGTGAGTGAAAACAAAATGAGTTTTGCGCCTGGCATGGTCGTCCCCTCCAACTGCTCTTCGGCCCCTTTGGTGGGCCACGAGCTCCCGGTTGGAAACCACTGCTTTAGAGGTTGCGTGTAGGGACTAAGGATGCTAAGTATGATTATGAGTGTTGATGATGAGTGTTCGATTCTTATCCGATTCATCGGCATAGCATACCGAGAAAACATACCCACCTAAACGATATCATATGAAATCAAACGCGATAGCGATGTTCAAATATATAATATAATTATTTCAATCGTATTTCTATTTATTTCTTTTTGTGGCACTTACATAAGGCGGCGTTAGATATAGATTAGAATAATCAACGATTCCAGCCGAGTTTGAGCTTAAATGTAATGCAAGTTTTCCGTTTTTTATCAGACTGAGATACTAATGCCAGAGTTAAGAGAATTAATTTATCTCTTCATTATTATATATGATGAAGATATGATAGCTCCAAGATATATATTTTATATTTTCACCAGCTTTACGTGGCTATGAGTTTGAAAGTATACCATTGGTGATGGCAGTTGATTGAGCACAAAAGGAATTACATTTTGAAAGTGAATGTAGCTTAATTTGTGATCCACGACAATAACAGAAAAAATAAAATGTTGTGCGACTTATAATCGTGTTTGGTCGATAACGATACCTCGTTTCCATGGTATTTTGGTGTTCTGTAACAGGTATTCTGTTATCAAGGGAAATTGTTAAAATGCACTTCTTATCATATTCTTCACTTCTTATACACACATCGGTTTACTTATCTTGAAAATATGCTTTCCTAAATTAATGTTTATTTCCCTTTGATAGCAATACGGATGATGCCTCGTTTCCATGGAAAGGAAAAAAAATTGGATATGACTCGGCGCCATATCGCCATACCGGAACGGATGACGATAACCTCGGCCGAAGCTCTGCAATAGGGTATTCTTTGTCGCAAATTTATCACCTAGTGAATTCAAACACACCCTGATTTTACATTCATTTATGTACATTTACCGCCTATCTTCGATTTATCCGTAAAACTGAGTTAAATTCTCTTACTACGGTAGAATATGAATGAGGGTCACGCTAATATACTCCTTAGTTTGTCATAACAACCTAAGATATTTGGAAGCCATGATACGTAGAACGCCTTTAAGCGCTATCATAGATAGGTAGGCACACTCAAGCGTGGAACATCTGTGGAAATATGAGAATCTAAGGTGTAACATCGACAGGTCCACTGAAACTTATATCTGCGGGAAGCTTTACACACAGCTAAGCTAATTTATCTGAATATCTGCAATGCACCATAGTTATTTTTTGCATAATTAGTAGGTTAAGACTAGGTAATGGAAAAGTCCTATAATATGCAACTGTTTTAGAGGATCTCTGTCGAACCTCTGGAACAGATCCATCGTTAGAACCCGGGTTAAGTCAGAAGGTAACTCTCACTGTACTTGATAAAACTATTGTGATTACTATTCATAAAATATCATCCTTATGCATAAGAGCAGGGCTTCCCAAACTAGAGGCCGCAAAGAGAACAACATCTTTACACAAATTACCATATCTATTGTTCTCCTTCAGACTCTTGAGTCAAAATACAATTAATAAAACTAGCGTAAAACAAAAATCTCACGATTCCAAGTGAATACATCATCATACAGTGTTTCCCCGAAAATAAGACTGTTTCTCAATTTTCTTCAGAAAAATAACACTAGGGCTTATTTTTGCGGAATGTCTTTTATTTTCATTTTTTATTAAACAAATTAGAGAATTACGAGATTTTTAAATATACAAAGTATATGAAGAACAATTTTTTTTTGCGCTATCGACTAAGTCTTATTTTGAGGGGAGGACTAGGTCGCATTTTCAGGCTTGGTCTTATTTTCGCGGAAACACGGTAGAATCATCGCGCTTGCATAACAATGTCTATACTGATCGTAGGACCCGGTTTGCTCGCGTAACGATGATTTTATGATTGAATATTTAACATATTTCATTTATTCATTTGCTAAACCGAGTTTAAGCGAACTTTTTTTTTTACCTTTATAAATTAACGATGACAAAATTGTGTTTTATTTAAAGGCAGTATTTTTTTCGTGTAGGTGCACCGTGAGATTTTTCTCTGATAATTTGGCGCCGCACGAACCGCTGCCTTGTGCTAAATTTGATCATTGAGAGTGAGTAACAATGCCGGATAAGGACCGTGCCGTCGATGGCCAGACACCATAATTCATTGATATTGAGGCCTTCAAACAACAAACATTGAGCCACGGCTGGACTTGCTGCAAAACATTCGCACCCAGCACACTGAATATATAATTGAGTAATATTAATCTGAGTAAATGTGAACTTGTTTGCGAGTATCGAGTAGGAGTAGGAGTAGTTGATAATTAACTGTGTCAATAAAATATTTGGATTTAGGCATTTTAGCATTAGGCTTGTTTAATGCAATATTAATGTGCATTTTTTTAGCATTATTAATGTGAACACGGGCTGCGAAATGGTTTAATATATTGAAAGGGGCCGCGAGCTCAAAAGTTTGGAAAGCTCTGCATTAGAGATATACCGATATCCCCCTCATTGCCCATACCGGTATCGATCCGATATTGCTTATATTCCGATAATATACAATTACCATCTCGATTTCAAGGAACAGAAGAGATAAAATATTTGCCTGCGAATTATATTTACATTGATCATTATGTCAGCTTGAATGGGTATTTCAGAACATATGAAATTGACATTATATTTGTGATTCAAATACATGCTATGACGTGTCATTAGAATCAATGCTAACAGTAACAGCTAACAGTACTTGAATCAATTGCACCGCAGATGGCTCTGCAACCCAGTACGTATATATGCAAAGTTGCGCCTCGGCACTTTTATTAAACAAATTAATGGTAGTTTTTGCAGAAATTTTGTTGCGCAAGGAATCGCGGTGTTTGATTTGCGTAATTTATAAAATTGTAGTTATAGGAAAATATATTTGGAACAACACATTTTTGAGACACCCGTCCGAATGTGCGCCACAAGTGGGTTGCAGTGGGACACTCGACAAGCGGTTTTCAAGACATTTTGATGACAAGATGTGTGTCGCTAGAGAATTTCATCGTCGCTGAATAAGAACTACATTTACACCTCTCTCCATTATCCTCGCAACGCCAAATGAATGTGTAGGTTTTTTAGGGCTCAAAAGATGCAAAAGAAAATAAGTGGTCCAACCTGCCCCCATGCGTATTGTCGTCTGTAAAAATAGATGAAACGAATAGCTCTTCCTTCAGGGCTGCTTAATGCTCGTGAGTTTGTCCAGAATTTATGGCGCGAAGCATGTTAAAACACAGCGCTTTTCCAGGATATACCAGGACAAGAGAAACAAATTAGGATTTGGGATGAGTCCGAATTTATCTCGCATAAATTTGCTCGATGCGAAATCCCGAACCCTCTACTGCTAAATCTAGTGTGATACAGGGTGACTCCAAAAAATAGAACCCATGAATTTCTTAATTCTACAAAAAGGGAAGAAATTGGATAAATTTTATTTTGTTTCACCCGATCTTATGTTTGTGTATGATTATTTCAGGAACCTCGGACGCTTTGTACAAAAGTTATGCTCCCTTTAGCTAGAGTCTACTCTAGAGTCTAGAATATGTTCCGCATTACCTTCTTGGCATTAGAGGCAGACTTGCATCCGTTGTGCGTAATTATCAGTCAATAATGTTAACTGGAATATGGCATGGCATCACGGCACGGGTAATCAACCATCGCACAATCGGTCCGAAAAAAAAAATACTACTCATTTTAGTAGACTTACTTACGTGAAAAGTATCAGTGGTTCGAGGCCAAAAATTAAAAAGCGAATACGTTGCGTGGTGGTGTACACACACACTGGCTGAGAGTTGGCCGAGCGTGTGATTTCAGGAAAAGCTGGTCAGCAGTGACGTCGAGGCACCTCACTCATCGTACTTGGAACCCTCCAAATTTTCATCTGTAGGGGTATTTGAAAGACGCTGTAAGGATTGGATAAATCCTCGTGCAATCGGTGAACTCATCTGCAATTGCAGCAAAATTCAGAGAAATCCCTATAGAGGAGTGCGTGCGAGTGATTGACAACTTGCGCAACCGACGCAAGACCGTCTCAAATTTTTGTTCTTCTTTAATTGTGCGTTATAAAATTTCCGGGGGAAAATGATTCAACATGGGAAATCGATATACGACAAAAAACTTATTATTTGTAATATTTTATGGTAACGAGTATCCTGCATTTTAGTTTTACAACCAGAATCTATTTCGAAGCTATTTAAACCACATATTACGGTAATGTTCGGTTCCTGGTTCGCAATAAAAAACAATTTGTTGTCAAACAAAAGTGTTGATTTTGTGAAGACCACTGCTTATTTTACCACCCAGCAGGTCATTTGAAACAAATTCTAGAAGGGGGCCTAACTTTTGTACAAAACGACTTCTGAAACTTTAGCAGACAGTCATGCACAAACAAAAGTTCGAGAGTAAAAAAAATAAAGTTATTTAGGAAATCGAGTTCTGTTTTGGAGTCACCTTGTATATATATCACTAACGACCATATTCACACGCGTTTCAAACACGTGCAAGTTCTCACTAGACTGGGTTGAGGCTTGTTTTGTCAGCGTCTGTTCAATAAGACTCCGCACCCATGCTCCGTCTAGCTAGAAACTTTCGTGATATTTTCTGCATTTCAAAAAGTACAAGATTGGTTGAAAAGCTCGCATAATTCGGTAGTGAGCACGACATAATCCCCGATGCATAATTAGCAGTCCCATCAGTTTTACCTCCTCTTTTCAGACGAAACGCCATAAAATAGAACGAGATTTTTTTACCAATATTAATTACAAAAAGAGAAAGAATATTGAAGTAGATACCCGGATACCCGGGTCAGTGACAGATGATACCATACGGTGTGCATTAGTACTTTATCCAACTTGTACGCAATTGAAGGATGTTCCCAACTCAACGCTCTGAACGCAAGACCAACTGCCCCGTTTGATCGTTACAAACTCCCTTAAGTTTCACACAAATTTTCAGCTCCAATGACAGCACTCGACTACAATTTACTTGTCAATTCCTGGAGTTTTGATTGATGCGACGCCTCGTCCTGGGGGTTCACAGGTTGAGAGCCAATTCTAATGACGCCAATACAATGTATTCAGTGAGACCCAGGACTTTCTAGTCCATCCAGTATATTATTGGCATATTTTGAAAGATCCAGTGGTGATACATCGGCTAATCGCACGTCTTGAGCGATTGACTCCATTGCGTCATCAGCAAAAGAAGGAATAGCATCTTTTCTCTTGTACAAATGCATATATCATAAATGCTATATACATCACAATAAAGAGAATTGTAACTTTCCTGTTCAATCTAAATATATAAGTTTATTTTAACTCTCGTTTTGTTAAAAAATTTAGTTTTACGTTTTTGTATAGTCTCGACGAGTATATATGGATTTCTTTGTCAGATGCTGACTACTCAGTTTATGGTTGGACTTACATGAATATACTACTCCAGTGGTTCCAAACCTTTTTTCAAGCGACCCAAATTAAAAAAAGGAAAATGTCGCGACTCAAGTATAAACGGCATGTAGTTCTTTTATAGCCGCAAAATTAAATTGTTAGTACAAACTATCGTTTTTACATAACATTTGATTCACCAGAATTTACTTCAAAGTGAGGAGGTCGCATTGTTTCCTATTAGCGAGTTTTCGAATTTGTAGCGTGACTTTGCTCGATCAAAATAGAGTTTTTACACTGTGATAATTCCCACATATACTATTGAGCAACTCTTCAATACCAAATGGAGATCAAATACAAAAAATTCAATATAAATTGAGTGGTGAACTTTTGAAAAACAAGCGACCCATTGGTTGGAAAACACTGTACTAAACAGTGTTGAACTGTACGTAATGATATTTCGAAAAAAAAATTACCATCAGTTGTTTTTGTTCAAAAAATTAATGCACCAAATAAATAGGCATTACAATGAATCCATCTGTGCACTTTCCGTTGCTGGATATAGTGCAACAAAACACGCAGGCATTCGTCATTAAACTCTAGGTACTCCCTTATATAGGTTAGGGTCAGGCCATAATTCAATTCTGATTTTCCTTATTTTAGTTCTATTACTAGTTCGGGGACTGTCTGTTTTAGCCAAGTGAATATACCCTCTACCTACAGGCTTCCGTCCCTTTACACAACTTGATGTGAAGTAGGCGAACAAAATTAGTTACCTTCATATTAGTACACATATATACTTGGGGAGCGCCAAACTTTCCAATTATGGTCATTGTCGAAGAAAGGATAAGCTATGCCTTTTTTAATGTATTGTATTGTACAGTAATAGAAACAAACTTACTTGAACCGAACAAACATAAAAACTGCAACGGCGACCAGTAAAACTAATAACAATATAAGTCCAAATTTAACATGAGGAACAATCTTGAATGGAAGTGGTAAACTTTCGAACAGGCACTAGAAATGAGAATATTTGGTTACGATAGTTAAAATATAACTCCTAGCCTAAAATCCCCAATCATTGTGCAGTAAGATAATCAATAAACGCAGATTCTCCCCATGTATGATTAGATAATTGATTTGAAAGTTTGCTTGGTTGAGTACGATAACATATTACATCAGCCGCAATCTTTGTGATTTTAGATTTTTTTCATTCGAATGTTCATTTTTCGAATTGAATCAACTCTGCATATATTTTGATTTATTATTTATCGATCTCGATCGGTAAGTATGTTGATACGTATTTGTTTATTTGTTTGCACTTTCGTATGTTACACGATATCTTCGAAAGCGAGGTTAATCTGCTCCAAATTTCGCATGTGCATTCATGACATCTCGGACCAGAAACCTATTGATTTTGGATGAATTATGTCGTATAATTAGCGAGTTAATAATTAATTAGGGATGATCGCTATTGAGTCAAGAGCCAAGGAATCGAAACCGCAGTTTCTGTTTGGGGGGATCCCCTTACTTTCGTCGCTGCGAACGATTGTGTGCGTACCAATGCCCTGTTTGCGATTGCGAGAATAACTCATGTGAAATCGTAATCCGTAAAAATTGTCGAGTAAAATATTAAACATGCGGGAGATCGATAAGTCAGGCTTTTATTGAAAATCGAATTGTTATTTGAAATAATTTATTGAAAGTTGTTACTAAATATACCTATTTATCAAACTTAATAATTTATGGCAGTTTACTTACCATTTGTAATGGTGATAACAAACTGACTGGACTTGATGTTACTAGACTTGTGATGAAGAATGGTAACCCCAATCCAAGGTTTATGTCGAATACATTTGAACCAAGTGCATTTGATACAGCCATATCTCCAAAACCTTCTTTTGCAACAAGGACTGAACTAATGGCATCCTGAATATAAATAAGATTAACAGTGACAAAGAAAAATGGCTTGAAACCTCCACTGCAGCATTTGAGAAGATTGGATTCACGACTTATTACACATTTCGGCCTTCAATGCACCTGGTATTGACACACTTATAGTAATAGGAGTACAAGGTATTATTCGTAGGTTTAGGACAGGTAAAAATTTGAACCAAAGCCAAAAATATTTACAACCAAGTATAAACGCCTGTATCATCAAACAGAAGATAAGACCCCACTTCAAACTGCACAGCCCTAGCAATGACTTAAGTAGTCATATCAGATGCCTATTTAATATCTAGTCCACTGGGTGGTGTATATCCTCTGATAAATTCGAACCAACTCTAACAGAAAAGAACTTACCGGCACACTCGTTCCAACAGCTACCACGACAAGACCCATTGTATAAGTATCAATACCGAGTAAGCAACCAATCTTTTCAACTAGTTCAATCATGATCCAACTGACAAGAGCAATCCAAGCAATACATAGAAAAAATGAGGCAAGGTACCATTTTCTAAACAATAAAAGGTCAGTTATTAAGAGATCTTAATAGCAAATCAATACCAAAAAATATCCAAAAAGCGGGGGTGTTGTGCCTTGGCCTGCCCAACCTCCTTGCAACAAAAGCCTGTGACTGTTAATGAATTAGCTTCTTATTTTTTCTATTTATCATTTTTTTCGCTAAATATTTTATTTTTTTAAAGTATTTTAATCAGTATTTTTCCTTTCGTGGTAGCTCACGTCGACATTCGAGATGGAACTCGGAAACACGAGTACACGATGGACTTTTTATTTATAGAGTAACTGAATGTAATGGGTACTACGCTATAGTGTATTCTTTGTGAACTTCCTATCCATTCTTAAACTGATTTCACGTGATAAAATGAACAGTTCAGAAAGCAAACATGATCGAAAATTCCCAAATTTATATTTTGGTTGGGATATTCCTTGGCGACCATTTTAGGAATCAATCAGTTGCCAGAACTTGTACTGGGATCCGAGAACCATTAACATCAACACTTATCTTAAATTTAGATTGTTGTATTTTACTCCTGCCGTCACTATGGCTAAATTTAGACGTATTACCTTTTCTGCGGAGTATCGCATTTGGGAACTGTCCACGTGAAAGCACACACCCATGGAAATGATAAAATGTAAACGACGTACATAAGAACATATTTGGAACCGGGAATGCATCGACTTGAATTTGGCCTGTAACAGATAATTTATATGATAAAGACTTATCGCCAAGTCGGAGCTGGCTTGGAAAACCGAGAAAATAGAAAAATGAATGTATTTCTCACTTCTCCGGTGGTGGATTTTTAACAGCAGGCAAGCAGGGGAGAATAACAATTGTTGGTACCCCGTCATCTTCTCCTGCCGCTTCTTTTCCCATCTGGATATATGCAAGAACACTAGAGTAAAATCATTGCAAACGAAGTTTTAAAGTAAACAGCCAGGGGAAATAATTCATATAATCATCTATTACATTTCAGCTTATTATGGGTATCCAGGAACCATAAAAATGAAATAGTCGATACGGTCATACGACGAGCGCTATAACCGCACAGTATTGTGGTAAGAATTTGTACGGCCAGACCGGATGTTTAAATTCGATGCATTTTCCCTCTATCTCCGTCAAAACTTATAGATCGGGCCAATTCATAACTAAACAAATATTTGCAGTATCCACAATTATGATTTTTTGTTTAACGTTTCAAGTCACTCAGCCAGTTAATAATCAAAATTTGGGACAAATAAATGTGCGAGCGTACAGCTCATAAAAAATTATTAATCGCGTCCTGCAGCGCAATCACTAGATGACAAATTTTCCTTGGCTTGGGTGGAGTCTTTTGGAAAAAGGGTATATGAATATATATATTGTTTATGCGTCATCACGGGGTTGGGTTTATATTGCGATGAAGCTGTACCGTGCGTCACAGACACTGTGTAATGAATATAAAGCGTTAAGTTTTCTGTTGAAAACATAAAATATTAATATGTTAGAAAATCAAATTGTTAAACATTGCGGTGAGCAAGTATCTGCTGCTGTTAAACGCTAAAATAAATGAAATCTACTATGGCAATCATTTTAGTTTCTGTTTGCATGTTCAATAGTCCACACCTACAACAATACACGATTCAATAGTCCACACCTACAACAATACACGATTGTCTCATTTGAAGACACATTTCGCAAGCTTATCAAATACTGTAAATTTCCAGCCTAGAAAAACAAACACATAAAAAATTACTTTTCTCAAATGTTTGTTTTCCGGAAATAGAACTAGTATTTTTGGCTATACGTATGGATATTATATTCGTGTGTATCATTTTCGTCAATGTTGGTATAACGTGAATGTCAACGAACTTGACTACTGGCGTATTTCTTTTCGTCTTTATTTCATGCGAGTTTGGATTCAATGTAGAATTGACCCCAATTTGAACCCAGAAATATAAGATTGATCCAGATTGATTTAATATTGGATCGAAATGGAACGAAAATCTGAAATAACTTCAATAATGAAATAAATTCTGCTTAATTTTTAGCAATCACTCACATTCTTTTTGATAATCCCCAGTTAATAACGGCAGTTTTGCCAGTTTCATGCAGAATAACACACAAGTAATACTTTTTTAACTACACATTGTCTATCTACGAGTAACCATAATGATATTGAATACATTGTTCAGCGACGGCGGTAGCTCAAGTAACATCGGATAATTCAAATAGCAAATTTAATTTACATTATTCACATGCTCGAAAGGGTATTGGAAATATACGATACGATTCTTGGAAATGTGATATATACGGTACATACATTAATTATTAAAAGCTTGAAAAAGTTAAACACGTTTTAAGGTGGAAGATCAATCTTATATCAGCTTTAAGAAACCACTTCGTCGCTGGTTATCTCTGATATGCAATACTGATTATCTTAGATGTGATTCATTCTGTATGGCCTATCATAGCTGTTCAGAATTTAAGATTTCTTGTCAAGCTTTGAATATGCAAGTAGAGTTAACGGGGTGTATATATAAAACAAGTGGTTACCTCTACTGGGCCGCCTACGTCGATACTTCCTGCCGTTTCATGAAAAGTTTCGGATACAATTTTAACGTCCTCGTTGTCACAGTTGCACTCGGAATTGCTAACATTGTTGGAACCGTTTACATTTTTTTTGACTGTAGACTTTGAATCAAGCGTCAGGTTTAGGGTCACGAGAGAATCGGAACGCCGTCTGGAATCACAATCTGTGGCCGATAGATTTGGCAAGTATGTATTCTTTTCTTCGACAACTCTCACGTCATTGGCGATATTCGGAGATTCATTATTTTGAAATTGGCTTCTTCCATTTATAACTGTGACGCTTTCCTTCACCGATGTACAGGATGGACAACGAGATACAGGCCTAGATATACGAGGACTTCCATACGTCACGCATCCCATGTTACAAGGTTGAGACGACACGTGTATGACGCACGATGTGCATGTGCTAGGCTGTGGTGACGCACCTCCTCCGTTGTTACTGCCACATATACATATACCGGAATCACTGTTATATGTCAAATATAAAAAAAGTCATACCATACAAAATAAAAGTGAAAGGTGTAGTACAACGATTCTACATTCTCAATGCTCAACTGTGTAAAAACACGAGAAATGGTACCGGCAATTTATGGTCTTGTCACGTGACAAACCTCACCGTTGGTTACTATAATATTTCATCAAAAATGGGATAATACACTCGAGTTGACTATCCTTCAACACGAAAAGAAGTTTGATTCCAAAATAGAAAAACACTTACTTGGCACTTTTAGATTCAACTGACTCTGCTCTCGACTCTGGAGTTCGAATTTCCGGAGTCTGTGAAGAAAATTAATGAAAATAGTATGACGAGTTCTTAAGACATGCAAAACTTCACTGCATGTTGAAAAAAATAAGAATGTAATACCGGTGTCGAGAGTGAGGTGGGCGGAGGCGCTGTGGGAATAGTAGATTCTTTCTGTGACACCACTTTTTCAGGTGGTGACATATCCACTGGTGCTGTTGCCACTACTTCCGGCGCCACTGCCGCCTTCGAAACTGGTTTCGGAGATGGAGATCGTGTGGGTGGAGGATCAGGAGTTTTTGGACTAGTTTCTTTTATCTCCAATGACTTATCAGAGTCTTCAGGTCCGACCCGACTTTCGAAACATGAACTGAATTGAAACAAAAACTGTGTCAAGTTGAAGCTAAAAATGTGCCCAAACTCCATCTGAAACGTTCCAAAAAGTATTGCGTTTTGATGGTAACCAATATTATTTTGTATGTAGCTTTGATCGACGTAATTAGTTGTTTGTTACAAAATATGTAACTGGAGTTTCGTTTAGTTCGAGTAGATTATCAATTTGAGCGAAATTTGACGTACAATCTTCAAAATATATAGAGACATCGCAGCATTCCATTATTCAATAAAACACTTCCAGATCAAAGTTGTGAGTGTGCTCGATTTTTGGTAAAATGAAAGCGATGCCAAAACGAAAATACAATCCTAGGACACAAAAAAATAGTTGTTCCAGGCCCAGAAGCCAATAGGCTGAAATATCCCAGTCCATTTATTCTCACAGCGGGCGATATTGCCCCCCCTATGGGCGAAAATCCCTCTCAAGTCAGAATTATCGCAAAACCTGTTTTCTTTGTTCCAACGGAGCACATTCATCTCACTTCCGCCTCGCTCGGAAGAAGAGAACGACAGAGGTCGACTTTGGTTTTAACAAGCTGTTTCTCCAAACCAAAGCATAATCTAATCTGGTTATCAACCAATTTGGCTGAGTATGATTCAATACCTCACTTACTCGCAATACTCACAAAAAAGTAGGATGGCGTACGTTAACTATATTTCTGCAAATTTAGTTTGTCGTTATCAGCAGCTCAGCTTAATTACGAATAGTCATAGTATATCTCACCAACAATTCCATTTTCCCATGCAATCCATAAGTCGAGCGTTAAACTTCATGACAACAATATATAAAGCGTATAATACGAGCAGCATGAGTGATTCCCAGTATGTAAATTGAGTATCAAGTGAAAACACGATGAAGGCAACAATCGACATTGCGTAAAAGATTGAATCTCGAACAAATGGTCGCCAGTCGAGACACAGTACCTGAATCGTGTAGAATTGTTTGTTATAAATGTTCGCAAGTCCTAGAGACAAGCGGTGACAAGGATTAGAGACGAGTCCTATTGGTGATTCCCTGATTTGATTGTAATTTCTACGAAGCAATAAATTTATTCTCTTCGGAAAAGATGCAAAGCGATCAAACTATTTTAACCCACCCGGTGAATTACTATATAATGCAAATGCACTAAATTTGTCCACTTAGTGCTTTAGCATGATACTTTTATGCTCACGCGACGTCGTCCAAATTTCCCCATCTTTCTTACTTTCTGTGGTCTGATGTGCCCATTAAAATGTGATGGGAATGTTTCAAGCATTGCGTTTGTTTGAAACTTCGAGAATTTGAAAATATTCATATTTCAAACAGCAAATCATATTGTACAGAAATCACGTATATGTTCTTATTATGCCATAAAAACTTAACTCAACACATAAATGCACGTGACTGGCAATATTAAAATAGTATTATATATGAATAATAATCCAAAAGGGCGAAGACGACTTGACAATAGCGTAAACAACGGATCGATTATTCAACAGTTTGAATGATTGTTATTTTTTGACGCCAAAATGTTATTATCATTACCTTGGTTACTATGCTAAAAAATATATATCATTGAATGGAAAATTGATTTTTTTTATATGTTATTACAACACGAATGTATGTTCACGCATATAGTGTTAACAAAAACCAGTGATAGTACTGTCGTGCATTAATAATTGTCCATAGAAATGGGGATTTCTTTCAGATGGAATAAGATTATGGATGTGCTACAAAAAAAGCTTGGAGAATCACTCTTCCGTGTAGCTGGTGGTATACAATGCAAGGTTTTGTGCAAGCGTTAATTGATTAAATATTACGATGCGAATGCCAAACAACGAGTTGTAGGACATAAAACTACAGAGCAAACACAATCAAAACAAAGTGCATGCTTGTATTTTTAATATAAATTTGAATAATAATGAATAAGTCTAAAGAAGGACTACAAATCGGAATGCGTGGCATACCAGACCCTATACTATAAAAAGTGAAAGTTCACTATGTCAAATTTATGCATTAATTAATATATATCGATATATGTATTGTAATTTATTGTAATCCAGCTATACATATGACCTTTTGCGCTACCGAAAGCTTATTTTACTAATATTTGATCAACAATTGTTAAGCAAGATTACAATAAAAATCAATCCGAAAAATCCGTCAAAACCATACGGGATTACGTGGATTATCACAAATCCGTCATCTGTTAGCAATATTTCCGATGGATGAATAAGCAGCGGTGAGATTCGAAATTTTAAGAAATTGTTCTTTTTTGTATTGACTCACTATAACTGATTCTCCTATTTCATGAAATATATGTGTGTCACTACGTAAGCTGCATCAACATGACCAGCGTAATATTAATCTAATATATAAGTTTTGAAACGTCAAATATAACGATAGTCGTCAGCTGTGGTGCACGTAAGCGTTTTTCGTCTAAAAATCGCTTGGTTTGAATTTGAACGCAATTGAAGTAAAGCTTTTTACGAAAAATTACAAATGAACCGATACAACACAACACATATTTTCACCAAACTCATTTAACAGGGTGTAAAAGCAAAAAAAAATACAAAAATGAAATAATAGTTTCACGTCGACTACCTTTCCTGCTAAAGCGGCCGTCAGAGCAATGATGATCAATAAATTAAAGACAGCGGACCTACAAAATAAGAAGTATCATGTATGAATAAAGTAACAGTTATTTTACCTAAGCCCCCAGAGTTATAAGTGACGTGAAGACAAAACCTATAAGGTGGAAAATAGAGTTCTGTCTACTACTCAATGAGAAACTCAGAATCTAAAGTTTACTGTGGACTATATCATTTCGACTCACCCAACGATTGTGCCGACTCCTACGTCACTTCCAGCACCAGCACCAGCAATTGAAATAAATAGTTCAGGAGCCGACGATCCGGCAGCCATAAACGTGGCACCTGCCACATCCTCGCTAAGATTGAGACGCTGAGATATTGCTTCGAGAGAAGCGATGAAAAAATCGTCACAAATAATCGCGAGACCTCAATTTAAAATATAAAAAGGAAAATAAAGACTGCAACCGTAATCACATCTTTATGTTACGACATACTTAATCCTTCTTGATTGTTTCAATGTGAAAATGGGAAGTTTTGGGTAAATTTACCATTTGTTGAATTTACTCAAATTTGAATCAAGATATATAACAAAAGAGCAAAAGAGCAAAATCGTAACGTTCTACAATTTGCACACTGTCGAGGTCAGCTATAGTCACGTACAGGACGAGCCAGAATTGATTATACCATCAGTGCTCGGTCATTCGAAAACTAGTTAACTTACGCACAAACGGAACAACTTAGTTGATATGCGGAAAGCAATCAAATTGAAAGCCTCAAAATTTACCTGGATGATTCCTGACCTCAAGGGTGTACACTTGTCTGCACTTCTCGAATGCATTGATATAGCATAGACACAAAATCACAAAATGACTAATGTTACTTGGCGACTTTGTGCAAAATAAGTTGTGGTGAGATTTGTCAAAACCTTAAGTCGGGCCATATAACATCCATAGAAAAGTAAGCGTCAACTGAATGGCAATTTTTCTGAAGACTTACCAATGAAAAGAAACAAAATGATTATGATGTAGAGCAAGACCCACAACGCTGGTACTCCGCTTGTTATTTCTCCTGCACATCGGTTATGATGTCCATCTTCTGATGTCTCATTTCCGATATGATTAGTCGTCTTATTCCTAGAAATAATTTTTAAATCAATTGTACCAATAAAAAGGGAAGATCTGAAAAACAGACCGATAAAATCGATTACTAGAATCGATACTACCAATTTCGAACAATAATGGTGGATATTGCTAGTTTTACGACATTTCTGAACAAAAGTTTCCGAAATGTGATTTATTTTGAGGTATATCTCATTATCATTTATGAAGAACCCAACCAACAATCTGACCTAAATTCAACTTTCGTTGAGATATGTTTAATGAACGATTTCTTAAAAAATAAATGCATGCTCACTTTCCGAAAGTTAATTGAAACACAGGGATGGATCATGCTTGACTTCGCATTGGCTCAATAAACATGACTTGTCCAATTATAAATAGTCATGATTTAAACACTAAACAATAAAGCGCATAGCTGTTTACTGTTCTTTTTTACTTTCTATAACCAAGAAGCGAACTCCAAATTCGTGTGTGTTTTGTACGAGGATATTGTAATCAAAAATGCAGCTACCTGGCGCTTACGCATCAATCGATAACTAGCTATTCTCAGTCAAAACAAAGATTCACATCAATTTTACATGATATATTAGTTTTCCATCGCCCCTGCTCACAATGAGTCTGTTCCAGTTTTTCGAGCCAAGATGTTCGAGTATCTTTGAAAGTTCCACACTAATCAAAAATAGTTGCAGAGCATCAGAGGCTTTTGCTTTTGCGCTGATACCCTCGAAACCAGTTAATCACCTTCGACGGGCCGCTAACAATAAATGGACAATTCAGCGCTACATTCTAAATCAGTAACGTAAACGCAAATCAACTGGAATGCGAGTGGGTAATATGTTGTGTGAATACTTTTACTTTTATGTGTAGAGTTCAGTAAATGCACAACATTTAACAAAATGTTTCGGTGTTTCGACGTCAAGTTGTTCAATGCCATATATGGCAAGGATAAAACGACTTTGGGGAACGTAAATAATTAATTTTTTCAAGAGTGAGGTGCATTATAACGGGAGTGATTTTGAAATTGAAATTTCACCATCCAACAAATATGACAATATCATTTTAATCGCGAGAACAGCTGCTAATGCGATGTTGTGACATATTTACTCTGAACAAGGATCCAGCAAGAAATCAATGAAAACCCGTGGGATTGTGGTTGGACCCGATATCTCTACAAGAGATGCAACATAATTTGATCCAATATTGAGAATATTTTGGTACGCGTCAATGGTTGTAGAGTTACGTTATTCACAAAAACTGTACGTAAATGAAGAATTGGTAATTGGAATATATATTTTTGTGTATCAAGAGTATTAATTATTATTATAGTATTTGCATTCTTGGATACCAAATATAAAAAATATTTCAGGTCCTAACGGTGGTAAGTTCCATTATTTAGAATGTTAAGTCATATGATGTTGCGCAAGAAAACTTTGAGAAAAAGACCGGGTCAAATATGTCGTGAGGTCACTCAACATTCTAAACCAAGGTACTTTTGAGAACATAGTCAAAAGACCGTCGAGATGAATAATTAAATAAAAACAAAATGTTGCCAAACTAGTTTACCGCCAACCGATTTTGAATTATTAAAAAGTGCCATCCGCAAAGCTCTTGTACGATTACCTCCGTTTTAATGCAATATTCAGTTAGGGATGTTTTTTAAATCTATTTCATACCGGAACAATTTTTTTGTTTGTTTTATTACAGAACCGAGCAATGTTTTGTTGAATCAAAATTTATATCAGCTTCATACATACACTTTAAAGTGGAAACACTATAAATTCAATTAAAAATGAAAATCAGTTTAATCGGATAAACCATCAATTATTTTTGTCGTACAAGCCCATAGTCGAGTTGTACTACGCATTGCGCATCACGCTGTTGGCAAAAAAAGGAACCCAACTGTATAGGCGCTTTCTCGAACATAAATAATAAATAAGGTTATCTTAATAGCAATTCATTTTAAATTTCCCGATAAAACTTCAAAATGAATCGATGATTTGAATACCTCCATAGATATGTTACATCTCAATGCTGCAAAGATTTGTCAATATTTTTAGTATAATAAACATTCAAGCTAGTATATAGTTATATATATATATATTCATAAATATTTATATTCATAACAGGAGGATAATTGAATAATATTAATTACATTTTTAAAATATTAAGCAATGCAATAAAGGCCTCCGGGCCAGGTCATATTTTGGAAAGGCACTGGGACCAAGACAGATTACAATTCTTTCGCTAACTTTGAATAAATTCACACCATCTACTTACTTTTCCGAATCCAACGCATCTTCGCAAACTTGCAGTGCGTTCATATATATGATATCCATTTCTGATTGGTCATCGGAAGTTGGTTCATTTGATACACCAGGTCGATGTTCTTGACCATGATCTGATTCGGGATTAATTTCCGTAGCAAGAGTTCTCACCTCGACTTCGGCCTGGTCGATAGCGTCGTTTTCAATTTGATTATTTCTAACGACGGTGACGGTTTTCAGCTCAGCATCGGAGGATGCTGAACGGTGCCTTCGATACTCGCCATAATGTTGTTCAGTCTGCGAATAAAAATCCCTCCGCCGTCGAATTAACCTTGCCTCTTCGATCGGAACATTCGGTCTGAATGTGTCTTCTGTCAACAAACGTCTACCATTCTGTTGTTCAGACCTTTTAGGCTCAACTAATTCATCGATTTTGCTTTTAGGGTAATATATAATATCCTCATAATCTACAAATTCCACCACACGCCTGTAATATATCTTATTCATAATCTGTCCGGCAGTTAAATTTAAATCGACGACTTTCGGCGCGGACATTGTCCAGCGAAAGACCAATACGACCGCGACCATGAACACGAGGGTAAAAATCACCACCATTATCCTTGTCAATAGATTTCTGTTTGTTTCGTTTTGCTGAAAATGAAATGCAGAATACTTGTACAGAGTTGAAATCCCACGATTTCTATTCCACGGCATTTTCGTCTTCAAAATTCGTCTTCAAGCGGTAAAAGCCAATTGATATCACACATACATGCAGTATTGCTATTGCGATACAATATTAAATTCGTCTATATACTGCAAGCTGTAAATGCATATTGAATATTTTATAAAGCTACCTCAGCTCAGTAACACGACGCTAAAGAAAAGAAACTCCAAGACACCAAGAAATGAGAAATCGCGAATGGAGGAGACAAGCGATCGTTTTCAGAAAGGCGATGTAAACACATGCCAATAACAATTGACGAACGGAGATTAGTTTATAATCAACGTTGCTTGTAGATTAACCATGCGCTATTTCCACTTACAACTTCAAAACACGATACAACAGAAAACAAAACTTCAAGCCACCAAGCGATGAAAAATCGCGAATGGAGAAGACAAACGATGGTTTTTCTGACTGGCGATGTGAACACATGCCAATAACAATTGGCGAAAGGAGATTAGTTTATAATCAACGTTGCTTGTAGATTAACCATGCGCTACTTCCACTTACAACTTCATAAATAGTCCCCAATCAATTTGGCTCAAGTATGATACGATGATTTAGTTCCACACTAAATCTACGTAATAACAAGAAAGCGGCATATTGATAACAGAAAGAGATTAATTTCACAACTACTCGTGTTAATAAAATAATACAATCGGCTGCTAGATGAATAACTAATAATTCCTAATCTTATAATCGTACATTTAAGCCACAGAGCTATCGATTATACCCCAATACTTTAAGTATTAGTAATCAGGAGTTATATTTGCAACAATAATGAATACAATGCTAAGCTTACACTTTACTAGTAACTCATTACCAGTACCTTAGGATATATTCGATGGTATAATTTTCAACACAGAAATAATTTATAACGACGATACTCTCACGCAGTTCGATATATATCCAACAATATAGACTATGTGTTCAAATACAGGTTTCAGTGAGACAAAACGTTTCGGAATAATTTCGCATTACATGAATGGATAAGATCATTGCGACACAGGCTGACATAAGCAGATGGGATTTTCCAAGATTTGTGAAAAATCAAAAAGTCTCAAAACAAGCAATTGGTAAAACATGTCCACCGTAATTATTTTTTATACGACGATTATTCAGTCTTTTCGCTCCGAGCAATGTTCTGTACAAACAGCTGATATCTAACGATATGTAGAGAGAGAGTCATCATCATTTGGAAGTCACAAAGACTTTCCGGTTTGGTATTGCTTACCCAATTTACTACAACATGGGTGGGGTGGAGGCACAGGATTTCAACCCAATATGTGTAGTCTGTGATGTCAACACAATTGAGTCCAACGCTTTAAACGCTAGGGCAACGCGCCGCCCAAAATTGCATGGAAATTATTTCCGAGTGTACGCGGGAGATAGTTTAATCATCCAAACCAACGAATAACAGTTTGTTTCTATCCTAATCGTTTTTGTTTGAAATGTAAATACTTTCTTCTGGATTTAAATTCAATTGTGAAAAATACATTGTGTTGATCAGGAGCTAAGGCTTTTTTTTTAAATCATAATCAAATTAAATGTAATTTTTAACAGACACCTGAAGTAGGACAATACCACCTTCCTGCTGCAGTTAATTGGACAAGACGCGTCGCTCGATGCATTTCTTTAATGTATTCAATGTATGAAAGCATTTATAATTAGCAGTTAGAGCTCGTCCGAGCTGTAATGAAAGTCAGGTCTTGACGCAATCGGTAAAGTGAAAATATTGCTGATTAGAATGAGAGTATTTCCCTACTTTGCGTGCGCGTAATTAAGTGTGTCTGCCAGCAAGGATATTATATATATTTTGTCTACATGAAGTTTGCGGAGGACAATTTCTCGTAAAAGAGCATCTCATTAAAATGAATATGTCTCGTATGCATAAAATTAGATTAAATGTACGCAAATTTTGAAACATTCTTAATTTTAATTTCGAAATAATTCATGATGTTATTATTAAGCCCCTTTCTCTCCTTCTTGCCTTTGACAAGTAAGACATTTTTCTCGATTTTAAAACCGAGTAGCAGTTTTGATTCTCTAGTCTAAACTCACTTCAAAATCCGAACGAGATTACGAGGTTTTATGTCTATTCATGTGGAGTTCGAATTTCGATATTTATCTGAAATTGTGATGTCATAATATAAAGTTGAATAAGAATATCTTTAAATTAGTTTTAATTTAATTCATTGTCGAAATGGATATTGAAAGCGAAGTTCCACAGATGTTGGAAATTTTAGTAGCAGAAAGTCTTGAAACATTTGGAAATTCCCAAACTGCCAGGAACAACAAAAGGCCTGTATTGAAAAATCGTCACATGCTCCACTATTTGGCGTGCGAGAGCAATAAAGCTAAAAAATTGACAATAAAACGGCAGAAGCAGATTGCCAAAGCAAAGTATGTAGAAGAAGAAATTCGGAGATGCACGAGGAGTGTAGAATATATGAATGAACAAGTGAGACACTGGAGAACTATGGGCATGCAGGTTACTGAAAAAATAAGGATGTTCGAAAGAGAATTAACAGCTCTTGATGATGAAGGAAGAAAAAAGAAAAATTTGATTTTTCCTATCTGATTTGAATAACGGAAAGCGAATTTCGCGCACAAATGAATATATTGACCAACTGAAGATATACATTTTCCGTTTCCAAGCATTCTCATATTATTTATATACTGCATATACTTTTTATATTGCATTGTTCAGTGCCATTCATATTCTGCTGTATGTTTGAAATTCACTTCAGTCGACATAAAGCGGTCCTAAAGTCAAAACTAGTGTTGGAGTGTCTCAGCCTCTTCCCCAAGTATCAGCGTCGAAGAAGAGATTCATATGGGTCCAAGCTCCAAGATCACGCTCCACTTAAAACTTACATCAAGGCTGTTGATAAAGGTAACCTGATACAGATCAGTGATAAATCCCCTTATAGTTGTTTCGTTTCTACAATACGGTACCAGGTTGGGGTTAGGCCATAATTTTTTTATTCCAATTTTAGTTCTTTTACGAGTTCGAGGACTAGCCAAGTGTCTCCCGTAGTATTTGTACCTGAAATTATGGCCTAACCTGGTACACATACTACGTTCCGTTGTCCGCCATCTTGGCTCACACACTTCGGGAGTACCTACAATACTTTATGCATAATACCCAACAAAAAATTACAGACTTTCAACACAGAAGTAACCTCGTCTTTCTCAACGCAAGAAAATACTCAAATCTACCTTAAATGAGGAAAACTTTTTTCGCAGAAAGGAGTAATTAATAATTGGGTATTCTTCTTCGCCCGTGGCCGCCTATTCCGTGGTTCGTCATATGGTTACGCCGCCTTATCGGCTTCTCCCTCCCGGGTTAAGGACCATTAGCATAACGTGTTATCGATTTATTACATAAATCTGAAAAAGTTGAAATTAAACCATTCAGCGAGATAACGCTCTGGTTCTGGAACGAGAAAGCCAGGTTGACAAACAGTGAACAGCTGTCAAATACCTAGCAAATATCTTGCCGTTGAGTGGCATCACAAAATGATGGCATAAAAGTTCTAAATAATAATAATATAAATATCTAAAGAAATGTAAATATTTACGAAAACCGAAGGAACAAAAAGGCAGAAGTAATCAGAAAGTGCATATCATAGACAACAAATCTTGCCGATTTAAAAGACATCAAAGCTTAAATTGGGTAAGTATACTGACATTTAAAAAGTAGTCCGATTCACATGGTCGAACTTCAGCTCATTCCACATTGTCGTTTATTGTCGAAGATGATTCATTGCGCAACACAACTACGATCATGTAAAGAGCCTATGCATAATGCAATTTAAATTGAGCATGTTATCTGTGAAATAGTTTTCAGAATATATCGATAAGGAAGTCAATTTTTGCTGAGCCGCTCCAACTACAGTTTCAGAACTTAAAACGACTGATTCCGATATAACAATCGCCTTCTACATTATATTGCAGTGCAGTATACATTTTCAATTCTACAATAGGTAGATACTGCCACAACATACAAAGCCTTTTTTATGCCTCAGATTTCGAATTAGACTCAATGAGGCAATTGAAGTAAGATCAGTAATTGCAATTTCCAACAAAATTACTTGATCATATGAACCTGCCAAATCTATAGTCAGCATACAGTCAGATACTGTAGGATTCATACGGATAGCTCTTCTCAAGAATGAGGGTCATGAGGAAACCAAGACACAACTAAATCTTCGTTTCTCATACATCTGTCCACAAAATGCAATTTCGTGCTTTATCCCCAGTGATAAGATTTCCACCATTCCATGAGCAAGATATAACAGGATCACTAAAAAACAGGATCACTTTACCCACATTGTTATGTTCAGAAAGCAATGAAGTAACACTCATGCACATGACTGCTACAATTCTTGAAATATACTTTTCTTGTGCCCATTTCAACAAAATGTTTAAAAAAATTTTCTACATTTTGATTCATAAAATCAAATTTTTATAGATTGGTGCAAGAAATGACCTGAATAACTTTGTCCACTATCCTAATGATGAATTATATGATTACTCAGTAGGATTGAAAACAATTATACAATCAGGCAATGTTTCGATGTTTGTATTATCACACAACTGTGACATTTTATCAGATGAATAAATACTTTACAGTTTACACCAAAATTTGTGCCAAGTGGAGAGAGCACACTAGAGATGTACTGATATATAGGTATTGTGTTAGTATTGGCTAAAAATAAACTGATATTTCCGATATATTCAGCTCTTTGTTCTGAACCAGAATTTTTTGGAGGATAAGTTAGTAATACAACTCACTCATGCTCATGCACAGTGGTTTCCAAATCTCCACTTGAGGCGTTCCATACAAGTAACGTCCCATCAGAAGATCCGACAGCAACATATTCTCCACTTGGACTAAACGCACATCTCGAATAATCTGTTGCAACTTTGAAGTAGTCATGGCTTTATGAAAACAAAATGTATAGGAAACGACTAGCATACACAAATAGGCACTAAAATGTCACAATGATTAAAAAATGATTCATAGAATAAATAAAAGCGCAGTAATAATAAACACATGATGGTACATTGGGTATTATTGAATTTTTTGAATATGTTATATCGTAACAATGTTAATAAATCTTTGTCTGCAAAAGTAGATTAATGATGTAATTACTGAAAATGAACACCCCAGACCCCACACAGCCTTGATTAAGGAGCTTAAAGAAGGAGGAATTTGGCTATTGGGACAAAATAACCTCAATAACTATGATGCACCATGTCTTATTTACAGTGTCAACAGTAGTTAAACTCATGTTGTGTATGTTCTTATCAATAATTACTGAGAAGCAACACATCGTTCAAATGCCTTTATTTGAAAATTGTCCTGAAGAAAAGTGAACAAGCACCCATGGGAGGATATACATTAGATACATCCAATTTAGTTGACAAATTCTACAAACCTCAGGCTGTGTAACACTGATCTCTTCCTTAAGTCAATAATTTCTAATGTATGATCTTTGGTGCAGCAGACAACATAATTTTTATCGAGTGGTGTATCCAGTGAAGTGATTCTGCCACCTAACGACATTTCTGAAGTTGCTGATGAACCAGACCTTTGAAAAAAAATGCCTTTCTATCAAACCTTCACTCCCAAAATGCGATAAATTATTTACATATGAAGCAACTATGATTGTAAAGATTACAATCGTCCCGACTCCGCACAGCCTACCCAAATTATTGTGTCGTGGATGCGAGAATTGGATTGGAGCCTGGGCCCATATCGTTCACCCTAAGTCAACACTAACATAGTTGGGCCTGGGTTGTTCCATAAATGCTGGTATGGTTGTTCATGTTTAGTATTAAGCCAAAATTCTGAAGTTGAATGTTTTAGCAGGTTCAGGCATATGTTGTCAACTGTTGAGGTATTTTCAATTTGTTCACAGTAGAAGATAAGAAAAACATTTATAACAATGACTAACCTTGTGTCATAAAACCTTAATTTCCTATCAAAATGACCACTTGCAACACATTCACCAGATTGATCTGTCGTGACAACATCATTACATGAAGAACCGGCAAGATATGTTTTAACACAGGAACCACTTTTTAGATCCCAAACTTTAACTGTTCTATCATTACTGCCAGAGACAAGACGGTGACCATAACCAAGATATCTTGCTGATAAAACCTTGCCTTGATGACCAGTTAATGTCAACTGTAAAACATATAAGAGGAATATTTATTGAAGATAAAATGAATGCTGGCTACTTACAGTAATAGTGTAAAAAATTAGATAGGATGGGATTTTTATATTTATCCCAGGGTAGAGGAAAGGCGATATGACAGCTTATCATATGGCGTTCCTCTAGATAGGCTACTAGTCCATGTCAGGAGTCCAGCAATCCTCGCTGTTCGCACACATATGTACTTCCAAACATCGATGTGAATTTTTTCGCATGGTTTGTCAAATTTGAATATAGAATTTCTTCAATAAATTACTTTTCATAAAAATCAAGCAGTGATACATCTCTCGAATGAAATATAGATTTTATTTTCTCATTGCATTGAATATTTTCTGCGCCATTGAACCCATTGCACTCAGCATCAACTTTTCTGCGTTTTGTTGCCATAATTATAATTAATAATTAATGTATAGTTATAATTAAATTGTAGGCTCATTGAACAAGTATCTGGTCATTAAATTGTTCGGTTATAATATAATTTAGTCTACACGTGTCTCACAATAAATTCTGTTGGGTAAAGAATATTATCGTGAAAACAGCCGTTTTGTCGCTGTAATTCAGTGAAGCGTCACTCACGGACCGGTTTTACTCCCAGGCCGCAGGTTGCCGACCCCTGATATAGATAATATCATAAACTCGATGCAATGAAAACAGAGTGAAGGTTTTAGATATATTCAACTTACTTTTAATCTTTGGATAGACATTGTCCACAATCGTACTGCATAATCACTCGAACACGCAATTAATAATTGTTCCTGTGGATCAAAATCTATATTAGTTATTCCACCATTACAACCTCGTAGTGTGTGCTCCATCATGCATTTTTCTAAAAATATAAAAATAGAGGTCATCTTATTCACTTTTTAAGATGATCAGACTTGGATCACCTGAAAATTAATTACTTTAATTACAAGCATATTCAATCATAATAGTAAGTAAGCATTTGGATATCATCCTGCCGTGTGCACTGAATCAGAGATTTTCAAGATTTAGAAAACGCCAATATTATTCAATTAAATGACATACCGGTAACTGTAGTGAAGATATTATAATTTTGAAATATTGGAAGCTCATTTTCAAAAATATTTAATTTAGACAAACCTCCCACAACGCTCCATAATCTGACTACTTTATCAGAACCACCAGTCGCTAGTATTTCACCAGATGCTGAAAATTTAACAGAAGATACTTCTCCTTCGTGAGCTTTCTGAAATATAAAAATCAGATTTTTTAACCAAAAAAGGTAACAGATACTTGTCTTCTAGTGGAAAATTTCAAAAAAAGTGGTGGATAATACACCAATTTAATCCAACATTGATCTCATGAAATAATATATTTTGAAATGTCTACTCGGATGGGCATAAAAAATCGGACATGAATGCCATTCAACAGATAAGAAAGAAGTTGAATGTTAAATTTTAGAAAAAAACTTGATGATAATTAACTGCTATTACGCTATTTGAATAATAATTAGTCGATACAAAATTTAATAATAATACTAGAATATGGAAATGCCGTAGTTTGTCATATAATTAAACCATCTCATTGTTTTTACATTTTCCCGGATAGAAATATAGAAGGTTTATCCTATTCTATCTGGTTTAGCCCAATAACACAACAAATTTCCTAACTTAGATAGGTGAAACCTGTATTTTGGGGAATCTTTTTGAGAATTTTGCTATTGAAGTGTATTTATTTTGTAGTACAAGTTTCAAGAAAGAGCACACAAATAAATGCAGCACTGTTTAACATATATTTGAGTGACTTCTTGAAGTTTCTATAATAACTTTCCAAAATCAATGAACAATTGAACATAGCAATAAACTACTATTTACGAAGTTGTCGGTGGCCAATATTATAAACAAAATATGTTTCATACCCATTTACATCTACTTCTTGAGGGTAAAGTGACATAAAGACATCCTTGATGTGCAGGAGACCTAGGAGTTTCTATTCCTGTTTCCTGAGATGTAGTTCTTGCTACTGGTTTTGGTCTGATAGAAAAGAAATTGTCATAATTGGGAAGATTATGTATGACCCAGTTGGCATAATGGTGAGATGTGAAAGAAGTGTCAAATGCATTGTGTTATATTCTAACTATTCAATTGCACTGTATTCTAAATCAGCGCTCTTCAACCAGGTATAGGGTATACCCAAGTGTATACCGAATCATAAGTACGACTAATAAACGGTATACGAAGGGTGAACAGCCTAAGTCAGGGATTCTAAACTCTAATATAAAATTATTTAATATTCATATGGAGACAACAATGCTAACGCGGCGCACATGAAATATAAAATGTCGTTTACGCAAAACCGACTTGAGCACATTGTTACATCACAAATTATATAGATAATGCAGGAAGGTGTCTGGGTTGATGATTTCGGCTTGATTTCACTTGATTAAAGTTAAACATGATTCCTGTTGACGCTAGGGCCCTTAGTCAAATATAGACCGTGTACAACTTGAACATATGGACAGTAGCTCATTAGATTGCATTGTGATATTGCAGTATCGTTAGCTTTATTTTTTTTTACCATCTGTGCTTAAAATTTCATGTTTATTTAGGCCTTGAACATACATTGGTATTTGTAAGATATACATACAATTTTCTTGAAAAATTTTAAAAGGTATACCACCATATAAAAGGTTGAAGAACCATGTTCTAAATACTCAATTCCTTCATTACATGAATTGCATAAAAAAGTGAAATTTAATATGTGCAAATTAATTGAAACAAAATAAATCAATATGTCACCTGAAGAAATCTGAAACAGCTTCTCCGAACCTAGAGAAAGGAAAACTACAGAGAGAGTTAATCAGATTATTCAGACATAACTGCACTTTAAAGTGGCATTACAATATGACTTGAACAATAGGAAATCGTATAATAATATATATAATGTTTTGTCAGTTGAATAGTCAGTATAGACTATAGACTAATCAGAAAATTGGATTTTGTATTCATATAATTGGAATATGGATATTAGTAAATGTAAGACTGGGTAAATCAATAAACAGCCTCCAAAACATCCCACAGTTTAACTATTGTTATTAACAGAAGTAAAAGCTGTATAAGCAAAAATGAAATGATTGGAAACGTTGAACTGGTAATTTACACAAAAAAAAATAATTGAATTGCAATCTATAATAAAGTACCCAGATCTTTTCTGTGGACTCCCGTCTGCGGATGGAGGTGATCCATTGCTGGAAAATGGAGAAAAAATTTTGTTATAATCCTTAAATATTGTGAGTCTACCGTACATTATTGTATGGTCGTAACTCGTAATGGTCTAGTGATCATCATATTATAGAAGTATGGAAATTTTAGAAATCTCAGATCAAGTCTGGTAAAGCCGCCAGTTGAATTTCATCAATTCATCTAGAATGTATAACTAAAAACTATATGACTCTATTTATGCTAATACTAGTAAATCCTCAAGTAGGCCTATCTAAAAATATTAGTTATAACTTTTGTTGAAGCATGAAAATAGATATTAATCGAACCCATATAATAATATTAAAATAAAAATACAGAGATATCAAATTACTACTTTCATCTGTAATATACCGGGTATTAAAATATACAATTTAGAATTCAAGTCCATAATTTAGCACAGACAATCATTGCTCTAATCTCATCTACCTGGATATAACTCTGCTGATATTTACCTGGTAGTGGTAGGTAATGCTGTTGATACAGATGTTGTTGTTGTTGTCGATGTAGCAGTCATAGAATTTTTTCTGTTACAGAAAGTACGACTTCAATGATATAATGTATGATATTTTGAAAAGTTACAAAAGAATATTATTTTTACTTTTTGTGCCATTGAATTTGACATAAAACATGATACTCTTGATCATTTATATTTCTATAACCTAACTTTTTGATAAACATCCTGGTTTATTAATCAATGAGAAAACCAAGTCATCAACTGCTGAGTTGAAGTTCGGTTTTATTCAAACTGTAGAGTCAAGTCCCCGTATAAATAAGTACCATCCGGTCAGAGATCATGAAAAAAGATTTTGACCAAAGAATTTAACAAGGAGATTCTGACCAATGGTCAGTGACCATGTGCGTCTGTTGCGAAAGTAATGACCTGGATCATGTTGTCATTTCTGACACCAGTCAAATCAACGTGTTTGGAAATGATTATGATATATCACTAACTAAATAGATCCCATCCTTTTATAAACATGAACCTGAAGTTAGGCCTACATAATTTGCTACACAATATGTTTATCAAGCTTACTTATTCATATTAACATTGGCTCTTTCTTTTTCAATTTGCTCCGCTTGCAAATTTTTTATTTCAAGTAATTTTTGAACGAGATCAGAATTTTCTGATTGGCTATCTCGAAGCTTTGTTTCCAGTTGATTGCACATCAAATGTAGAGCATTATGCTCATCTCGAAGTGTTTGATTTCCCTGAAAAAAAAACAATCCTATAACAATGAATATCACAGGGACAATCAATCAACCCAAAAGAGTCAAACTCTTTCAAACTCGACTAACTTTTTATTGAAACACTTTGGTGAATCACTTCAAACTCTTATCAGAAAACCAGTTACTTCAAGGTATTTTTTTTTTTAATAAAATTTGTTTTAAAACCCTCAATTTGAAAATTCTTATTCTTCAAAAATCAGAATCGTGGAAGCAAATATTAATCGGAAAACAACCTGAAATAATTCATCATATTTTTGATTAAGATTTTCAAGTTCTTCTTTGAATTTTTTGATTTCTTCATCTTTTTCTCGTAATCTGCAAATACGAAAAAAAATTTTAATTTAAATTTCTCAGATTTAAATCACAAGCAATCAGTATACAAAGACACTGGCATGCCTAATAGCGAAGATGTCCATGTCAATTTATTTCTACTTTGCACTATTTTAAAAAAGAAAAGATTCACCGAAAAAGTTACTTCAATATTACATTTTCTTAAAATCGACTTTTCCATATCAACGTAATTTTTAATTGCTTTACACAGTCTATTGCAAACAATTGGTATGTATATTTGTTTTTGCATGTGCAACACAGTTATGCATTTACCAGTTTGTTTTTATTTTCATGAACAAAACATACCTATCATTGGCAACATTTTTTTCTTTTTCATTTTCTTGCAAAGCAAGATTTAAATTATAAAGTTGTTGAGCATTTGCTCCTTTTGTCCGATGAACTTCGGTTAATTCTTCTTGAGCTCTAAATAACTTCTGTTCTATCGCAACATATCGTTCACTTTTCTCAGCTCCTCCACTACAAAAAAGAATAACATATTTGAAAACCTTTACGTCCACACCTATGAGTTACACCTATCAGTAAAATAAAAACTTATAACTGAAAATTGCAAATAAGAATGAAAACATATTGAAATAAATGAGGTTAGCATAGTATGATGTTATGAAAGTATTTTTATATTTTCCCTGAGGAATTTGAAGGTTATTAATAAGATAGCTTATTCATATGAAGAACAAGCCCTCTCGTTAGTGATCAGTGCATGAAGAGTATGGGCAATGGGCATAGTCAACAAGATATTTGTGTTCAATGCATCGACACTCACACATGGCATTACACTGCGAAACATATTTATTTACCATAGTTATCATAGTTGACAAAATAATTTAACAACCTAGTCCAGGGGTCACCAAACTTTTTTTACCGCGGGCCGGGTATGACGCAAATTGTGTTGAAACGGGCCGGATGAATATTTTTGTCAATGCAATACAATAAGTTCACAAATGTTGGGAATATCGCAGAATATAGATCGAGAACATCCTAGGAGTTTAGCTGTTATCAAAACGTTGCTGTCATGAATTAGAAATGTTACAAAATCCAAGACAAAAAATGTACGCATCACGTCTGCTAAGTACCGTCACGACGTGTTGAAATATCGCTCATAAAAACGACTGCCTGCTGTAGCTTGGAATTCTATGAAATTTTGACATAATTTAGATAAAATAAACAACTATTATCTGGTATTTGAATTTCATGCGCATAAATTTCCCAACATTCGACGCTTTTAAAAATTACGCTCCAGTTATACGTAGTGCAAATTATTGATATCGTCTATGGACACCAATAAAATTTATATGGACGTGTGTATTTCTTGTCTAACTTGATACGTACCAATTTTTATGAAGTTCGTACAATCAGAACATCGTTAATTATTACCCACAATGAACCACTGTCAAACTATCATGCACAACTCCAGCGTTTATTTGCGACGATTATTCGGCGGTGTCAATGACCGTTGCCAGAATAAAATCCTGAAATTATCTCAATATACCATAGATGTCACGCACTTCGAAAGATTAGTGATTGATATGTGTTATTTTTCCATATTTAGTACAGTTCTTATCAAAAAAGTAATACAATCATTATGGAAAAAATTGGCTGTCGGGCGGTACTAAAATTCCGATATCTCCGTTAGTTTTTATTTAAATCGGATGAACTTCAATTTTTTTGTAACATACCTACATGAATATCCGCATTAAAGCAGTACAAAAGTTAGTGTGGCTTTTGGAATTGGAGCAGTACGCGAGGGATTACAGTACTGTTAGCACAAGATGCACATTCGACGTTTATTTTAGCACGAAAAACAAACAGTTTCGTCGAAAGCAAGCGCCACGAGTGTACAAGTGTATCGCAGAAAACGTTACGTACTGGTAGCATTCAAAGTAGCAAAAACGAAGTTTTGTTTACAACCACGACTGAAAATCTGTTAGGGTGACAAAAGTGTTATTACGTCACTTTTCTGCATCTTGCCGATTGGCCAATGTTACGAAATAAACAAGGACGACGATGCTCGTGAAAATCTTCCTTGGAAAAAAATTTAGCCATTTTTGCGTGTTATTGCGGACGGATAAAATGACGCCGCGGGCCGGATAAAATGACGTCGCGGGCCGGATCCGGCCCGCGGGCCGTAGTTTGGTGACCCCTGACCTAGTCGAACTGTGATAATCCTACGAATTGTCAGTCTGGTATATTAGGATTGTTCGGAATATCCAACCGTAATCCTATCTGTGTGATAATAAATAAAAAACAAGTACCCTGCTTCAGCTTTCACTTGTAAATCCAAATTATCTTGTTTAAGCTTTTCTAGCTGAATATTAAGTTGAAAATTGTCATGTCGAAGTCCAGCAACTTCTTCAAATAATTGATTATCTGAAATACGATTCAATATGGTAAAATTCATTTAATCAAATACTAGGGTAGTTCCTACAGTTTGTGATCAACTTTGTGCGACTACCAAAAAAGATATCATATGCAACCAAGCATGGAAGAATTTATTTGATGATTAGATTTTCATAAAGTTTTTAGGCACCAGTGTTCACTATAGTCGCACTTTTTTGTGAAAACTGTGAAGCACTTTTGCAGTTTTTGTTAGAGACTGAAAAATCACCATTTTTTTCTTTTTTAAGAGAAAAATTTCAAATTGGCGAATAGTAGGCCTACTTGCGAGTACTTTTGAAAAGCAATTTTTTATTACAAAATTATATTTGAGAAAATCATAGTCTATGTTGTGCAGAAAAGTAGATAAAGCCTTCTGAGTTATCGCAATAACTGTAAAATTTTTGTTCATAACACCACCTTTTAATTTTACAATCGCTCTCTGACTCTACATCCCCGCAAAGACGGTATGATGCGACCCCCTATGCCCAAACAGCACAATTTCTTGCTGCAAATATCCGACTGGAAATATATAGTAAATGAAAGCGAAAGTTATTCACATTTAACTCGTCTGAAAGCCTGGCCCTCGGTATGATGGGTCTCAAATATGACTGTATGATGGGTCTCAAATATGACTGTATGATGGGTCTGGTATAGTATGCCAGTTTTAACTTACGTGATTGTATGAGATCTGCAAACCGGTCGTTTGCTTCATTTCGTTCTTTGAGTTTTTTGAAGATTATCTCACGAAAATCTGGTTCTGTCATTTCTTTTCACAGTGCTGCAGTGTTTGTTTCTGATGACGAGGAGGAATTGAGTATTCCTGGTTTAATGAGACGCCAAGTTAGACACTAATACAAAGATGTCCATGCAACTCAAAATTACAATTAGGCTACCAGATTACAGAATTACCTTGACCTAATCTCTCAATTTAATTTTTTTTTAAAAACAAAAATGACAATTAGCAAATGAATATTTTACACTATTATTAATAAATTAAGACATAATAATCTTACCATACAGCTATCTCATTACCTGGGACAAAAGCATTTACATTATAAACACTGGTACAGCAAGATACTAACTATGTACGGTATCTATACAAACTAAATATGTAAATCCTATCTTATCCCATTGCAGAGAATGCAGAATTTCGTCGGGCAGGGCAAAGTGATCGTTTATTTGGGTTCACTAGCGACACTGTGTGTTAAACTAAAATCTCGTAATGTCGCTGTCGAGCAGAGTGGGAATCATTGAAGTGTATATACACCTCAGTGGTGGGAATACCGTACTATGCTACGTGCGGTATGTTACGTGCATACGTGCTACCGGTATGCTAGTCGTTGGTGCTACCGTAGGCTGGTATTGTTCACAAACTTATCACGACAATGCATCAATTTGGGATTTTTTTACTGATTTTGCAATTTAATGTTCTCAATATTCCAAACTTGCTGCTGTCTTTCAACTATGCATTTTATTATTTGTTTTGTTCATTTGTTGTGAATGTTAGTTAGTTCTATTGTCTCCTTATCTGCAATCATTGAGTATTGTACTCGCAGAAATATACTTCGTTTTTCAGTACACCATGATGATCAATTTAAAAACTAGCTAATTCAACATAAAAAGGGTTTACATCAACAAAACTTGCAGACTGATGGATCATCCGTGATGAATCTGAACTGGCCCCAGTGATAAACAACCTCAATAAAATTTCCTCCTAAGCTATAATCCATGACTTTAAAAGTGTGGAGGCTAACTCGCCATGGAGGCTAACTCACTCGGTATTGTACTGCCTGAATAATTAATCTTAAGCAGGTTTAGCCCACCTCTTCATAAATCCAACATGACAATTCTGGTTGTGGAATTTGGCATTAGGTGACTCCAATTATAATCAGCTTGGTGATATCTTTTGAGAAATATTTTTCTATCCACAGTATATAACTCTTGTTGACTAATTCGGTATCCAATTTGGCAATCCTCATAAAATTTATTAATTTTGTGTGGCAAAAATTTTACTCATTTGTATTTTATTTGTTTGTGTATAATTTTTCTTTTTTTCCGTGTCTCGGTAATGGTGTATGTGTGTGTGCGTGCCTCAATTAATTTAATACTTTTGGATGAGCGAACACGTACTACTCCTTTCATCAATACCAAAGTGTCTATAAAGTGTTATAGTCACTTTGATCAATACCTTTCCGCCTAAAATCTGTACGCTTTACTTGAGGTTTTATTCGCCCTCCCGATTTTATAATCAGTTTTATTTATTTTGTTTTCATCAATTATTTTATCGTCTATTGCTGATTATGGAGTCGAAATAAACTTATACTTATTATAATCGTGTTTATAAAAACATAAGATGTGTTCTATAGCTTTTTACTTATTTAGATTTGTGCTACACACAATCTAGAATTCCAGACCTAGAATTTGCAGCATCCAACTATTCAAAATCACCTCCATTTATATATAAATCCTGGCGATCTCTCAATAAACCATGATTGAATACGGACATGTGGATCGTTGAATTTTCATAAATCAATGACGAAAGAAGTAGCTAGAAATTTATTACACTTAATTATCTACCTAAATTTTGCTGTTTTTTCAAGTGCTGCCTTTTTTCATTCTGTGTGAATTTCCACCGATCCCTTCAGCAAACTTGGTGCTCTATAGCTTTTTAGTAAGGATAATGATGCGTAACATTTGCGTCCGTTAATAAGAACTGTTTGCTTTTTTTTAATTTTTCGTGGGTGGGCACGTAGCTCCTTTTTTTATTTAGAGTTGTGCTCGCCTCCCAGGTAGCTCTGCATTTTGTTTGTCTGTTCACTTTTTGTGTTTGTTTATGTCAGAAAACCTAAATAAAATAGATGAATGAAATTTATGCAACAAACCAGTGCTCACAAAACTTTTTGTGTAGGGTGCACCACAAAGGGTTATCGCACTTTTAAACCGAAAATAAATGCGTGACACTTTGTAATTTGATTTTAGTTGAAGCAAATTTTAAACTTACTCTTTTAATGACATCACACTATATAATTAGCAAATTTGTGACGACAGGACGTGGAAATGAAAGATATTCTAAATCTAACCGAACTTATGCATGCAATCCTAAAATAAATTCGAACGAAATTAGGCTTAGGTAGTTGTGGCCGACATTATGATAAGCAGTCGATGTTTTGTTTTTATTTTGTAAGTAGACAACGCCGATATATATATATGCTTATTTTACCTGAAATTAACCTCATTTCTTTCCTTATATTTAAATTGCTTCATATTTATATATTTTTTTTTTTATTCAAGTATTATACTGCAACAAGTTCAACCCAATGGGTCAGCACTCGATGACCTTCGCGGGTCTTACTTTGTTCCTTTGGAGAAGTCAAACCCTGCCACAGCCCAAAATCCCAGTCACATTCGAAGGAATGCATTGGGGTCCGACAGTGAGCAGTCGCTGTCAATGCAAAGGCAAAATAGCCTAGGATAGGGTTGCCATACCGTCCGGAAAATTCCGGACATGTCCGGAATTTAGGGTAAATTTTGCGTCCGGAAAAAATTTAAAAAAAAGCTCTAATGTCCGGAATTTTACTGCATCTGCAATCGTACCGTGCACACTGCTAATACTACGAGGTTTTGTGGAATTATGATGTAACAGAGCGTTCCTTATCAATGATGTTCACCACTTGGAACTTTCTGATTATTATTCGCTGACTGTTTTACTCGTTTCGTTGTGCAGCTGCAAGTGTATTTGATAGCAGCTAGTTCCTTGTTAAATTAGCTAAATACTTGTGGATTTTCTATTTGAATAGGAAGCAAGTCAGGAATTCGGGATCGAAAGTGCTAGTCCCTGGAGCTTTTTGGTTCAGTTAGTCTGGTGGTAAATTACTTTGTTTTTTGAAGTACGCATTTTTATTTAGGTTGTATTTATTGTTAATAAAAAAAGATATTATTTTAAATGGCTAATTTTAAACGAAAGTACACATTCACTAACGAGATGCGAGAAAAACATCCATGTTTTAGAAAAAGCAGGAATGATTATGGGGCAGAATGCTTGGTTTGCGAATCAGGAACCTATATATATATATATCTGTCGTGCACAATGGTAATGGTGATTTAAACACACATCTGCAATCAGAAAAACATCGCAAAGCAGTAAGAGTGGCTGTTGCATCAACGAAAATGACAAATTATTTTGTTACAGCAGGAAGTAAATGCGAAGATGAAATCACTGCCGCAGAAGGCACGCTTGCATTTCGCGCTGTTAATCATCATCATAGCTTTTTGTCCATGGACTGTACATCTGTTTTACTTGAAAATATTTTCCCTGATTCTAATGTAGCGAAGTTCGATTCTAAGAAGTTTAGTAGTGACCGCACAAAGACAGAAAAAGTTGTTACTAGCGTACTTGCGCAATATTCTATTGATGCTGTTCTGAAAAGTTTTGAAGAAAACGATATCGCGTACTTTGGCGTTGCAACAGATGGCAGCAATCACAATGAACTGAAATTACTACAATTATTCAATGTTTTGACTGGAGGAAAGGTGGTTTGCAATCAAAATTGATGAGTTTACAAACAAGGCAAACGAGACTGCCGACACAATTTCCACTTATGTAAGAGACACTATAGTATATATGGTTGTTAGATGAATGTGATGTTACCGTATATTGCTATATCGTAAATTGTCTCTGACTTGCAAGTTACCCATTCACCCTTCAGCTTCAACGCCCACGTGAATGAAGGAAACTTTAGAAAACTCTGTTTGATTTTATTCTCAGATTTTCACGATACACAGAATATAAATCTTATAACATTTATCCCTACTAGCTTTGAATGGTTTACATCGTCTTCTCCCCCTATCGAAAGATATCGGAGTCGTATTTATACGTTGATCATAAATCCAATTAAATGCTGTAAACGTGAGCTCGTGATTTACATTATAAACAGAAATTCCTATTATCTCAACAAGGGTAATTAGGTACATCGTACGGATGGGAACTTAGATATAATTATTTCAATCAGTGACAAAGGTCTTGAGAATATAGATTTTAATTTGATAATGACTGGATGGAACCTGTTATGTTCTTAAACCTGGTGTAATTTGATTCCTACGAAAGTCTTTGTTCGAATTTTGGGAAAAATTAACTTTGTCATGATGATTTCAACATGAAATGGGGTACATTTGGGGGTTAGTTACTATATTATCTCCCCATCTTACTAACTGGAAGTTTAAAGATTTGGCACCCTCTAATAAATTGAAAATATATAGAAAAATACAATACACAATGCTAAAATTAATGATATAGGTCAAAAAAAATATTTACATGTATAATCTACAATGAGACACGACATTGAAATAAAGGAGAGTTTATAGAAAGAGTAAAGATTGTAAAGTAGAATTACAGAAGGATGGCGTATTTTTATTTGAAAAATTTTGGTTTGGACGGTTAAAACATATTTTCAATTTAATGTATTTCGCTAAGTTAAAATACTTATACTCGCTTTATCGCATTGTTACGATTTTGTAGACCCAGTTGGTCAATATATGCTTGTCCCACGTCGGGAAGAAAAAACGCGTTGCGACCTAGTTGGTCTATATTTGCTTGTCCCATGTCGGGAAGAAAAAAAAACGCGTTGCGACCTAGTTGGTCTATATATGCTTGTCCCATGTCGGGAAGAAAAAACGCGTTGAGACCTAGTTGGTCTATATATTTGTCCCATGTCGGGATGAAAAAACGCATTTTTAAGTTTATGCCATCTCAGGGCTTTTTTGAAAAAATAACGCTTTTGATACAATTTTTGTTTATAGAGCTTATTATTTCACCGTTCTATATGACGGCTTTGTAAATAATTAAAAGTATGACTCGCTCGAATCTACTTTTAGAGAGCATTTTAATGATAACGAAATCTATTTAATCGAAAAGGAATGTTAACCACAAATATTTAATAATATAAATCTCTGAAAGGTATTTGGAATTAAAATATTCAAAGTTGTTACCATTAATTAATTTATAAAAATTGAAAGCCGAATGAAACGCCATGTATATATAAGAAGAAAAAGAAGTACTTTACCTTAGTATTAGTGGAAGAATGAAAAATATCTGTCTCAATGAGGAGAAAAACCTGCAAATCACGAAACAAATTGTAGGATGACATGCTCCTGATCTGTATATCCATTATGTATGCGCGAAAATATCTCTATT